CATAACTAAATCTGAGATATTATTTCATCGTTTGTTTTTTCCACTTATATTTCCTTACCTTATGTTCAGACTCCAAAATCACTAGTGCTCCACAGCCATGCTTGTTTCAATAATCTTATTTACTTTTATTTTATATCTTCCAGAGATATAAAGGGAGACCTACACTCCCACTTCCACACCAATTTAAGTCCATATTACTATTATTATTCTTGATTACTTCCAGGAAGTACCGTAGTTTTTATGCGGGCTCCTGGTTCAACCTCAGGGCTCATTTAAAAATGTTCATGACTAGAACGGCACGTAGAGGAATTGGCGACGATGAGTATTGTGATTGTTTTGGAAATGTTAGAAAATGTGTGGTTTAGGTGTTTTATGGTGTGTCTCAATGAGAACAATTAATTCATTATGCCGTTGTTTTCTGAATACTTCAGGTTTATATAAACCCATCTTATGTTTACGTTGTGGTTAAGTTAAACCACAAATATCCACGTGTATTCTAAATATTTTTTTACAATTCTTTTAACCAGTTGAGTAAATTGAGAACATCTTCGTACTTACAGTGACGAAAACTACATTATTATATGTATGTATTATTACAGTACTAATAATGTTACATTATTGCTAATATATCTTTAACGCAACTCGATCTTAGACTATAGAGCTAGGGACCCCTCCTGTCCTCTTAAGACTCTACACTGGGTCACGAAAAGGCAACTTTTCAGCTGAAGTCCAGCTGCGGTTTGTATACAGTAAGTGTGGAGTCCCGTTTCCGACGCCTGCAAGTTTTCAAGATGATCAGACCCCTCGGGTCACACAGTGGCACCCTGCTCTTTTTATTTTAACTTCCATCTAATTATAAAACTTTAACTTAGTATTTGAATGGTGGGCATATTGCGAAGGACTTCGTGAAACGGGGTGTCCCTACTCAAGCTGCGAAGGTTAAATGCACCCTTTTAGAGGGTGACTCACGTTGAGGTGGTAATACCGCGACGCTCCCTTGCTGTAGCTGGTGCGCGGAGTGCGCAGACGCAGTCGCCGCACTCGCTGGTGAAAATGGCCGACATGGAGACGGAGGTGGACGGAAAGAGCTTGGACAGTGGCAAAGAGCTAGAGTAAGAAATAACCATAATATTCTAGTTTTGTACGCTAAAAGAGGACGAAATGCTAAATGCCGGGGTTTTGGTAGGATGGTGACGGTGGTAAAGGTTTTTTTTTCTATGTATACGTGAAGCAGTGGTGTTCACAGACGTGTTGTTGCTTCTTAGTTTTGCGTTTCGTAAGTGCGTGCGAGATGGGGAAACGTGGTGGGGGGGATAGTTCAGTGTTCCCGGTTGAAAACAGCTAACTTTGACTTTGTGTGATAGGGGAAATCGACACGCATTCGCTTTTCGGAAATCGGGATCTTCCGTAAAGCGTGGGAACGGCCATCTGCCACACGGACGAGCTCCAACGGCGAGAACTTGCTTAGAAAACTGAGGCCGGATAGTTGATCCGCCACCCAGCGGGTGTCTGTTCTCGCTGCTGTGTTAGTAACCGTGTTGCTGTGCTGAACAAACAACAGAGCACATCGTGCCTCCATCCGACAAAGTGGCTTCGCGCCCTGCAGCTGGATTCAGCCTTCATTTTTGTTTCGGGCAAATGATTGCTCACGTCTTGCACGCCGACGCGATCTGTGTTTTTTTTTTTCAAAAGCAGAAAAAAAAATCGGGGCCTACACTTCGGTCCTCTCCACGTTTTTTTTGGTACTAGAGAGCGTGTTTTGTTTTTGCCGTCCTGTAGGCCGTTTTAACGTAGATGATCACAACTTCCGAAAATCATGGATTTGGTGTTTACGCTTAAAGCATCCCGGAGCTTCTTGTATTATCAAGCCATATCAGTAACTTCTCGGGTTTTTAACGATTTATTTAATAATCCAGCGATTGTTTATTAACGCCCGTAAAGCGAATCAAGCCGCAAACTGGTCGGTTCTTCCAGATTGGGGATACTTCTATTGCCTGAACCTAACCAAAAAAACTTTTCGGGAGTTAGATCGTCACTTGCTAACCTTAGCTATGGGTTTCGATTTTGAAAAAAAAAACGTCAAAACCTTATCCAGGTGTCTTGCAGACGGTTTTCTTGCCTCAGTTCGTATCTGCAGATCAATGGCCCCGCTCTTCTTTGCAGAAACCTGGACCGATTTATGCAAAACAGAACTAAATGGGTTTCAGTAAAGATCATTTCGATTGTGAATTGATGACAAAGGCGATCTGGGAATGTTCTTTCACCAGGCGCAAATCTGAAAGTTTGATTATTCCTCACCGCTGGTGTTTTGACAAAGTGTGCGGTGTTAGGTTTTTAACAATTGAAACTGTTAAATTAAGGTTTTAATAAAGCAATAATTTGCACCCCGAACCTCAGTCTGACCACTGAAAAGGAGCGATCTTAGTTTCCAAAATCCTCTAGTAATTCAGTTGGGCAGGTTTAGAAAAATACTAAGGAAAAGTGCGCTCTTTTCACGCGTCTTTCACGTGAAGTGACCTTATATACTATCTGTTTGGTTAATTCTTTTTTTTATCATGGTAAGACTGTTTGTAATGTAAATAAGTAAATCGTTCAATAAAAATTGATAGGAATACATTTGTAAATGCACGTTTCTGATTCAAGACCAACCAAGCATGTAACAACAGTATTTCCAAATCCTGCAAAACTTGCTTTATGGTTGGTTAATTTTAAGAAATGAACGTGATCTCGAAATCGCTTAACTTTAAAAAGAGCCACCCAGATTTCGTGACTCAAAAATGACAATATTCTGAAATAGGCGTAATGTATGATTATACATTTCATGGTATAAGCTGAAGACATGCACAGACATTCTCAAGACACTAGTTCCTCCTGAAACTTGTGGACAATTTGAACTTGGGGCTTTTTTAAGTTGGTCTGGTAATTATATCAAAGCCACAAATTGTATTATCCAGTTGTGTTCTAGTATTTTGCTTAACGTACTTGTGGAGTTACACTAAATACACACACAAATGAGTATGATGACATTTATTAGTTGCTATATTCTGGAGGGACTGATCTGTGTAGATCTAGTGCTGTGAAAAAGGATGACTGTAACATAGTAATTGTATATAGTATATTGTGCAGTCTTTCTGTGGTCACAAAAATTATTGGTGCCCTCCATTTGTAGTAAGTGTAATCACTATTTTAATTGACTATCCTGACTATCTTATGTATGTTTATTAAACAGTCATGCGATGAAGTGATAGTTTTCTTTAATAGTGAAATCTCTAGTGTAGAATCTGTGAGGTGGTGTTTTTAGGTTGGGTACTAATGCTCGTTTTGTTAATAAAAACAATTCCTTGCACTTATGTAGCACTTTTCTGGACACTCCACCCAAAGTGCTTACAGGTAATGGGGACTCTCCACCACCACCAATGTGTAGCCCCATCTAGATGATGTAGAAAATGTTCACCCACTGTTTTAATTGACTTTATTAGCCAGTATTCAAGTCTGCAACTATGTGCACTAGCAGATGAACATGGTCTGAAAATGAAATGACGCTCTTCAGAGCAGGAACAATTTAGGAACATGGAGGTTGCAAAAAAGACATTTGTCCCTAGCTAGCAATAGACACCCGCATTCCTCTGGTTCTGTTGTCACGTTTATTAAACGTATTTTAATAGAGAGTGTTTGTAGCAAAAACCAGGATTGATATTGTGTCGCACATTCATTTAAATTGTCTACCTTTTCTTGAAACAAATTCAGAAACGAATCCCATTGGTGAATTTTTTCATCTTCCCCCATTTGCCTTTATAAATTAGAAGTCCGGTCTGGGATTGATTGCCCAGGCGATAACACACAAGGTCTGTCATTACTAGGTTGAGCTTTATTTAAAGGTCATCAAGGGTGTATTTGCCTTGCCACATAAGTAACCCACATGGCTGGCAGGGCAGCCTCAATCCAAACTCTGGTTCTGCTTTTCGCAATAAGAAACAAAAATGGCTCGGGGGCTTCCGAGTGAATTAACTAATAAGCTTCACATTTGAAGTTCAGGGCTGTATCATGATTTGAATGCATTCATAATCTCCCCAGTGGAGGTGTTCAGTTATAAATTGGCTTCATCACTCTGTTTGCCTCCCCACTGGTAGCTGGTGTGTGGTGAGCCTAGTTGTGCACTTTGGCTGCTGACGCATCATCCAGGTGGGGGCTACACATTGGTGATTGAGGGGAGTCCCCATTACCTGTAAAGCACCGTCAGCGGAGTGTCCACAAAAGCACTATATAAGTGTAAGGAGTTAATATTTTTATTGAAGTGCAGATGGATTTGGGTTGGCTGGAGTAAGCTAGAGGAAGAACATTTTGTTCAGTTAAAATCAAGCTAAATTAAACCTTTGCACTTGACGCTACCAGTTTAGAAACTTGGGTCAGCCAAAATGTCACGCTAGTTAAAAACACGTCTCCTGTAAAGATATGCGGCATACCTTAGATGAGCAGCGCACATTTGGATTTACTAGTCCTGCAGTACATATTTATGTATTACATTTCTAAGAAGAGAAGAAATTATAGGACAGGGCATAGCAGTTCCAGAACACTATTTTAATTTTCTGGTCTACTTCGATAGATTCCTTAAAAACCTAATTTGTGTAGAAGATATTCTGTTTCCATATGTAGTACCTCATTTGACTTTAAACTTGACACCAGGAAAATGGCTTTGAGGAGTTTTAGTTATTTCTTTCATTTTTTTTAGGAAAAACTCAAGTCATGAAAGATCTTAAAATGCTTTGAATAATATGTCTGTGGATACTCAGACATTTACTGTTTAAATTTGTGCTCCACAGAGGCGAGGATGCAGAGAGCTCTGGGAAAAGCGGAAACGAAGAGAATGGAGACGTATCGGAGGAAGAAGACAAGCCTGAGTCCAAACACAGCAAACACAAGAAGAAGAAGCATAAGCATCGGAGCAAACACAAGAAGCATAAGCACTCCTCCGAGGAAGATAAGGACAAGAAACACAAGCACAAGCACAAACATAAGAAACATAAGCGTAAGGACAGTGGCCCAAACACCTCTGTTAATGCCACAAGCAAAGATGGTGCTTCTCCTTCAAAGCGTCCCAAGCTGGATGACATGGCAGTCTTAGAAGATCTGGAGAAACAGAGGGCGATGATTAAAGCAGAGCTTGACAATGAACTGATGGAAGGGAAAGTCCAGTCTGGGATGGGTTTGATACTGCAGGGTTATAACTCTGGTTCAGAAGAGGAAGGGGAGATTCAAGAAAGAGCACGTAATGGGGAACAGCGAGGCCCTGCCAAGGCTGTTACTCCCAAAAGCCAGGGCAGGTCACAGACAGTCAAGGACTCCAAAAGCAAACGAGAGTCCACTGACCATAAATCTAGTTCAAAACGAAGGAGTCGAAGTAAGTCCAAGGACCGGGCGAAACAGCATAAATCAGAAAAGAAGAAAAGTAAGAGCAGCGGAACTGAAGGTGGTACCAAAGATAGGACAAAAGCACGGAGCAGATCTAAGGACAGGAGGCGATCTAAAAGTCCCGCGAGGTCTAAAGAGAGGGCCAGGAAATCAAAATCTCCAACTACTAGAAGGCGCTCTTCAGCCGAGAGAGCCCGGAAATCCGCCTCACCCGCTGGTGAAGCAGAAAAAAGCCGAGCAAGTAAGCGATCGCCTCCACCCTCCAGTGACGGCAAAAACAGGGACCGGAGTCGGAAATCCAAGTCTCCTGACCGAAAGAGTAGATCTCGTGAACGAAGATCCAGGTCCAAGGAGAGGAGATCAAGGCGTTCAGAGGCCGAGAAAGAGAAGGACAAGGACAAGAAACCAGCCAAGTCGCCCTCTAAGGACGCCTCGTCTGGTAAGGAGAACAGGTCACCCAGCAGAAAACGTGGACACAGCCCGCAAAGACGTAGCTCTTCCCCCAGGCGGAAAGAGAGGGCATTGAAGCGCAGCAGGTCGCCACCTTCCTTGAACACCCAGGCGACGGACAGGAGGTCAAAGCAGAGCCGCTCTGCCTCTCGAAACAAGTCCCCAGCTAGGAGAGGACGGAGTCGCTCAGGGGATCGCCGGAGACGAGAATCGGACCGGCTGAGACTTTCGCCTGTCAGGTGCGTTTCTTCCTTCTTTCATTGTGGAAGAGGTTGTGAGCACTCTTTTTTTTTTCTGGGGGGTTGTGCAGCCTGTGAAGACCAGTAAAATGGCATCTCCTTTTGTAACCTTCATAGATTTTGAGAGGTTTTAGTGAGTAACCTTTCTGGCGGATAAAAAAAAATCAAACAGTGTTTAAACATTGTGGGTGTTAAAATGAGCTCTTCCTTTCAAACCTGTAAATTGAGTTGATCTTGTCTTCCCATGTTTTGTTTAAATTAGAAAGTTTCACTTTCTGCAATGTGTAAAGGAAGTGCCTGCTTTAAATATATAAAAGGGTGCATTACAGAAATATAATTCTCCATGTGATGGTGGAGTATCTTGCAAACGAACGCTGTTGTGAGCTCCTGTATTACAGCTGCTAGTGTTAGGTTTATCTGTGGTTTTTTTCCCCCTTGCTAGTCGTGGGGATTCTGAGCAGCTCACCTGTTGCTTTGCAGGCTGCGATCGCGGGATGAACCGCCAGGGAGGAGGGACAAGTCGAGGGACGCGAGTCCCCTGCTCCCCCGGCGCAGGATGAGCCGGTCCCCCCTGAGGAGGAGGTCTCGCTCCCCGCTGAGACGCAGCCGATCCCCGCGCAGGAGAAGCCGATCACCCCTCCGGAGGCGGTGCGTGCCTTTTTTTAACTAACGTGACGCTTTCTCCAATCCCATCAACCCAGGTGTATTTCCCACAATTCTTCCCAGGAAATAAATGACCCAATATACAAAAAAGACCATATCAACCCCTGGAGAACAAGCTACAGAGTACACAATAAAACTACACAGAAACAAAGTGTTGACATTGCATGAGGTCAGACTTTTACTCAAATGGGAAGGGAGTGTTTTGGATCTGTTAAAACGCAGGGAAAATGGGCGTATGGTTTTGTCACTAAATTGTGTAAAGAACCAGATAGACTAGAGTCAGGCCCGTTGTAGCGCTGGCAGTGTTCCTAGAAATCCTCCTGAAAAAGATTTCCTGCTCAGGGGTTAAGTAGTAAATTTCCTACAAGAAATTATTCGGTGCAGGTAAATTCTTGTAAAACATGTCCCAGCTTTGCAAGGGGTTTCCTTCTCTTGTGATTTTGCTGCAAGTCTTGCATTGTCGTATTCCTCTAAAGCGGTATATAGATGTCAGAGGAAACATTTTCTATAAAAACTTTCAATAACAGAGATAGTCACATGGGCAGGTAGATGCTCTGTTACGATGAGCATCGCTCATCTGCTTATAATAGACCATGACTTGATTGGCAAATACAAGTTAGTATTTCCTTTTTCCTAGTATATCCTTTTCCTTTTTATGTGTTGTGCATAAATGTTTATTTAAAAAAAAAAAACTTTTTCCTTAGCCAGCTTCACTCCTTCCAAAATGAAAGACAACACCATTATTGGAATTTAGTCGGACTAGTGATGTGTAGGACTATGATGTTTATTTTTTATTTTGAGTGCTAAACTTCAGAAGAGAAGAACCACTTTAATCATGAATGTGCTATCCTTATTTTAATAGGACGTAATTTATAGGTCTGACTCGCAGTTGCAGTGAGACTCTGTCAATATTAAGCTTCCAAAAACTACATTTGTATCATTCAGATTTCTTAATAGGGTACTTTCCTACAAAGTTTGATCCCTGCATCTTGTGTCCTCTTAGCTGTTAAAATAACTGCCAAGGCTGTCTTCTATGTCTTTGTATTAAAGCTATAAGTTGTCCCATTCTTTTGTTTGGATCGTAAAATGTAAAAATTCTAATTAGGATGTGAAATTACCTGCACGCATTTGCAATTTCATAGTAAAGTATTTTACTGGTCTGGTGTTCTAACGTTTGGTTCCAGAAGACAGATAGTTTGGTCCTCAAAATAATGGGTTTTTATCTCTTTGCTTGACATTTGTAAATTGTTGCAGTTTCAGATTCCTCCCCTCCCTTTAATCTCATCCTAGAAAAACATACAGTCATACCGCTTCGCTCTGTTTCATTGGCTCCGATTGTGATGCAGACTTTGTGGTTCTAGGTCACTGGATAGAGACAGGCTAGGCCGGTACAGACCGAGGTGGAGATCAGGGTCCAGAGATCGCCGGCGGAGACGCAGCAGAGACAAGGAAGACAAGTTTAAAGGCAGCCTTTCAGAGGGAATGAAAGCTGATCAGGAATCCTCTTCAGATGAAGTGTAAGGCTTATAGATTTTAAACATTTCAATTGGATACTTGGAGAAGCACTTTTCCTACTTAAGGTGTGCTTATGAGCTGTTCTCTATGCATGTGATCCTACAGATGTTCTAGTTGGTTTAACGTTTAGTACATAGTTTAGGAAATCATATGTTATTGACTGAGTATCCTACTATATTGCATAACTGTGTCTTGAGTTTGGTACTTAATTTCTCTTTCTCAGTCTGGAAGATTATGATGTGGATGAAGAGGATGAAGAAGCTGTTATTGAACAGAGGAGGCTACAACGACAGGCCATAGTGGAGGTTTGCTTTTTAGTTTTGTAATTATAGTTACAAACAAGAATGAATGCCACCCATCTCCGATAATCTCATTTTTTAAGCATAATATTGATTGTAATGATGCCCTTATTGATAATGGTAATAAAAGATTTCTCTGTCTTTTCAGATAGTTAACATTCTAACTTATGTTAACTAATTCTATTTAATTGGCTACTTTAAGACATTGGAGTTGAACACTTGGGTCTATATCTCTACACACTTGCACAGCATTGTAGAAATGTTTGAGCTAAGAAACATCCTTAGCATCCCAAGTAATTTCAGTGTGTTGCTGTACTATATTTGAACACATTGCAAAAGCAAACAGCTGCACGTCATAAAGTGACAGAACATTTGTACTGTATTTCTCCAGAAATACAAATCTGTTAACGAGGACAGCAACATGTCAGTTCCTTCGGAGCCCAGCAGCCCCCAGAGTAGCACCAGGAGCCGCTCTCCTTCCCCCGATGACATCCTGGAGCGAGTAGCCGCTGATGTCAAGGAGTATGAGAGGGAGAACGTGGACACCTTTGAGGCCAACGTCAAAGCCAAGCACAACCTCATCGCTGTGGAAAAAGATGGTTAGTGGGGAAGGGGGGATTGCTTATCTCATGGTGCCTTTTTTTCCCCAGATCCAAAAACATCAAATCGCATCTTAACATAAGACTGTAGTTTCTTTTTCAGAGTGAAAACTAAAAATCTTTTGGTTCTAATTCTAGAGTTGATCTAGCTGATCTATAGTTAGTCAGAAAAAAACTGGAAGAGGTAGATCAATGCATAATCAAAACAACTGCACATCAGTTTGATCTGTTGTAGGATTTTTAAACCCCTGCTGTCTTGTATTGTATGTATTGTACTCATGAAGCAGAAAAAATTAAAATCTTGAACAATCGAGCACAAACCTTTAATATCTCAAGCGGAACGCTCTTCTGTGCAGTGGTAGCATTATCTGCTTCTCTGTAAGATCCCATAGGCATAAACGTTGTGGGAAGAACTTGAAATGATTGTAGTTGGGATCCAGACCAAATATTTTCGGATTATCTCATTTTTATTTGCTTGTCGTTTATTTGTTCACGGACATATTTTGCAGCAGGGTTCAAAAGGAAAAAAAAACACTTAGCATCACTTTCATGTAGTGTTGATGCATCTGTAAATATCCTTAAATTTAGACTTTTTTGGCACAGGCATATAATCATACTGAGCATGAAAACAAATGTATTTCACAAATTTTTTAAGTGAATATATGGCTTTGAGGTATCGATCAAAGGTTTTGGGTATTGATCATTTGTAACTGGGTGAAATTCTAGTGATTGTTGAATAAGCGCTAAATTGCCTCATTATTAAGACTTGTTTTGGCACAGTGTTTGTGATTTAAACTGAATGTTGAGCCCCACGAAAAAGAACACTGAAAGGAACCACAGCACCCTGATCATCAAGCGAACAATGCATTTGCCATCCGTATGTTAGTCAGACAGGTTTTACATTGCCAGTTGCACTATATCAGAAATGCCATGTCACATCAACCTGTCCGTGAGCAGTACAACTATGAGGAGGTAGCTAAACATTCATTCTCGCTGATGTTTGAAATAAAATTAGATGGTGTTACGTTTTCTTGCGAGATGAGAATGTGACAGATTAAGCTGTGGGTGCCCTATTTACTAAACCTGCCCCTGCTGAAGATTTGTGGAATAAAGTGTGGCGTGTATTTGGGAGACCAGTGAACAGGCCCATGCTTGTCCACAGTCGACCGAAAGAACATCCTGCTGTGGGACAGAATCCCTCAGTGTTTGAATCCTGGAACAAAGCATGTCACAGATAGCGGTGTTGATTTCAGTGGATGTCACATGCTATTAGCCAGCAACTTTTACAGTAGCACCTCTGTTAACTGACCCTTTTCTTGACCAAAATTAATCAGAATAATTTGCCTATTTCATGCCTGCCGATTAAAATATTAGTGTACCTGCTACAAAAAAGTATAATTTTCCGATAGTGATAGACTAAACCATCAAAAGAAATTTATTTCAGGAGAACAAAGGGTAATGTCATAACTCTAGGCATGAAATGTTTTGGGATCACTTTTTCATTATAGTTGTACTTGCATTTTTGTTTGGAATGCACAGTTCAATTTTCTTTAAGAACAGCAAGTTCTTTCTGTTATTAGAGAATAAAAAGAAAACCGCTGACCATTTCTGTATGTATTTTCCAGGATCAAATCCAAAGAAGCCATTAGCTCCAGATATGTTTACAGAATCTGATGACATGTTTGCCGCATATTTTGATGTAAGTATTTTTGATGTTAGCTCAGTGGAATTTAATTTTCTAGAGAATTTTAATTCTTTTGAACAGCACTTCTAAATTAAAAAAAATTAATTGGTATGTGCCTTAAGTGTTTTTTAGGACTTCTGATTGTTTTAGTTATGACTTGAGTTTTCTGTAAACCAGCGTCATCCAATAGACCATATTTTGTTGTGATCTCCATTTGCTTTAATAAATTAAAATTGTGGTATTTCAATTTTTCAACGCACAAGGAGCATTTCAGTGTTGAGGCAATAATTTGAATTGTACAATTAACAGAGTGCAAGACTTCGTGCTGCTGGCATTGGGAAGGACTTCAAAGAAAACCCGAATCTCAGGGATAACTGGACTGATGCAGAAGGCTACTACCGTAAGATCAATTAATCATCTTCTTAGTGTTTAAGAAATTAACTTGGGCAAAGTTGAGCTTGCATTTGATTTTATAATTTATTCTAATACTGACTTTCTTTGCAAAGAAAAAAGCTCAGACCAATTTGGTGCCCTTTTAAAAGTCTTTTCACAAGTGTTGGAAGATGCAATTCCTTATAACGGCATTAACTCTACATGACCTTACTGCTCCTTCCATGTTTTTTTTTCTACTAAATCTGTTGTAAATGTTCCTTATTTCTCACAGCTTTTTTAAAACATCATGTCTTAATATGCATTTTGAGGTTGGAGGACCTTGGAAAGTTTGTGAGCATGATGTCAACATTTTGTGTACAATGTATAATGGGACTTTTATGTCTTCTGGTAATTCTGAAGTATCAATGTTTGAGCACACTTGAAAGTAGTAATAATAAGAGCTTTGAACTTTATACATCTACAGGCGTGAATATTGGAGAGGTTTTGGACAAGCGCTATGGTGTTTATGGCTACACCGGCCAGGGGGTCTTCAGTAATGTGGTGCGGGCCAGAGACATGGCTAGAGCAAATCAGGAGGTGGCTGTGAAAATCATCAGGAACAACGAGCTCATGTGAGTACTGTTTGCACATTGGCAGCCATTCCCAATTGACAGATGGCAATGTTCTATAATAGACATTATCTACAAGCAGTAAATGTAAAACTCAACTACATGCGGGGTGCCATTACACCTGCTGCAGTCGCTTCAATTTCCACTCCTGGTACGCTGAATAACTTGCATGAACACTGTAGCAATGTGTTTTTCTTAAGTGCCCTCTTTCAGGTGTGTTGCCCAACTTATAACCAATTTAGACTCTGAAGAAGCAAACAGTGTTCGTTGTGGGGAGAACTCGGTAAATTCATTCCTGTCTGTTAATCTTAAATTGATCACATATTAAAGCGTTTAGTGAGAAATAAAGGTAAGCATTTTGAGAATGATTAATGCTTCCAGCAGCTTCAGTATACAAAACCGAATCCTTAGAGTATGTCATTTTTGAAAATCAGGACTGAATACAGCAAAAGGAAAACTGAAAGTCTAAACAAACAAGCAGATGAATTGAAGGCATCGGTTTTTACTGGCTGTGTGTTGCTCCCCTGGGATGAAAACCAGCATATACAATGTACCCCCCTCATCAGGACCAAGGCTGTGAACCACTAACCTATATAGTATTAAATAATAAGTGCTGTAAATCATTACATGTCATTATAGGCAGAAGACTGGACTGAAGGAACTGGAGTTTCTTAAAAAGCTCAATGATGCTGATCCAGATGATAAGTTTCACTGCTTACGACTTTTCAGGCACTTCTATCACAAGCAGCATCTCTGTCTAGTGTTTGAGCCCCTCAGGTAAATTGTCTTTACTACTTTCACACTATTAGAAGTATAGAGTTTTTTAATATTTTTATGATAGGAAGAATTGAAGCTAAAACCATTTTTTAACTATGTAAGTTATTCAAGCAAAATTATTTAGAATTCAGTTAACCGGACTATATAATTAGTTTGATTGCCGTCATTTTTAATATAGCCTATACTTTTGAACGAGTGTTACTGGTAATGGGGAGCATCTTTCTTGTGAAATGCACTCTAGATATCTGCTCTGTCCCTAAAGTTAAATGGTAAATTTAAATTGTGAATTTTATTTATATATTTGTAGTCAGCAATATTCATATTCTCTGATTTTGTAATGGAAATGGTACAAGCAGCTCTGCTTTATCCCTTTATCCCAGCATGGGACAGTTGGAGGCCATGTGCACTTGTCATGATGTAATTGGTTTTTCAAACTGACAGTGCCTTCAGTAGAATTGGCATCTGTTTAATGAGTCCCTGTAGATTTTTACATCTCTGCAGGTTTGGAATCGTAATCACAATATGCTAGTGAGGTAGCTACCCTTCAAACCAGCCGTGCCCAGGCGCTAATCTTCATCTACAATTCCGAATTGGATTGTTCTAGGCGTCATTCAATGTGTTTGCATCATTAAAACACTTCCTATTCTTTTGAATATCGATTGTCTAACAAAGTTCTACTTAATTTTCTTGCAATGAGAAAAACTTAAAAATAAATTGAATTAATCCTTGCATTTGTATTTAAGTTGTTTTTCATGGAACAGAATAGTTAATAGAAATTGAATGCAGTACATTTTACTTTTTCAACTTACACATACCAACACAGTCTTAGCTAGAGGTTTGGCTGTGCTACATCTGGAAGTGGCCAGTGGAAATGAGGCAGTAGCCTCTATTTTAACTACTAAGTTTAACAATCTAGCATGACTTTGTGTTGCCAGTCTCAACCTTCCATGTGTTTTAGAGCCATTGTGCTAATTTTCAACAGTGTATGTAGCTATGGTTCTGCTTGATATACTGTTTTAATTTTTGAGCAGTATGGCATTCCATTAATGGAATTAATGGAACAGGCTGTAAAGTTTTTTTTTCTGGTATTATAGTTAGATAAATTGCAGCTGTCATGTAAGGCTCCTATGATGGTTGTATCTCTCACTATTACTGCCGAGGGGCAGACATTTGAATGTGGAGGAGGATCTGGAAATGATCCTTTACTGTGACTTATTTATATGTGGGTTTGTGTAATTGTCTAATTGTTTGTTTTATTCAGCATGAATTTGCGGGAAGTGTTGAAGAAGTATGGGAAGGATGTAGGCCTTCATATTAAAGCAGTACGATCATACAGTCAGCAGCTCTTCTTGGCTCTGAAACTTTTGAAAAGATGCAATATCTTGCATGCCGATATCAAACCTGACAACATACTGGTGAGTATACTGCACAGTCCTGTACTTGTCTTCTAGTCTGTTTTGTTATTTAATTTGTTGCATACTGTTTTTACTACTTTTGAATATTTAATTCATGATAGGTACATTATTTAAAATCTGTATTGTAGTTGTTATAGTCTGTGTTGATAATGTTTTTCAGGAAGTTTGTGTGCTGAAGTTCTTGGCAGCGGAGTTGCGTTTTATCTTTGGTTTCAAAAAGGAAAAAGTGTAATTGGTTTTGGAGTTTTAACATGAATGGATGCCACCTCTTGGTAGTGAATTGACCTAACAACTGAATTAAGTTCCAAGGACGTATGTCCCAAGAGTTACCATGCTGACTTCACTAGTCCGTTGAAAACAGTCTATTCAGTATAAAACGTATATAGCGTGCTCCTATTCCTAAAGAAGCAACATTTTCTTTCAAAATGAATCATTCTTTAACATGCCATTCCATCTTATGTTAAGGGTCACAGTAGTATTTACGATATTGTTGGAGAAAATTATTTCAAATTAATGCCTTTCATTAGTTTTTTTAGATAGTTTCTGATAGGGAAGACATATTGCAGATGTATAATTTGGATTGATTTATACAGAGCTTTATATTTAAGCCATTACTGATGACTACAAGTTGCACTTGATTGAGGCTCTGTGAAGAAAACATAGAGGTTTTCAGTTGGCATTTGTCAGCAAAGCCGTTTTAAGTTTGCTTGTTTCTTGCAGGTTAGTAGTGTTTTAGATAGTTTGTGATACCCTCATGGAGTACTATTTTGTGTAAATATACTGATGCACAGTAAAAAAGTAACAACCTGTTTTATGTTGGCAGCTCATTGGGGACATTATGTACATTTTAAAAAGGGAGCAGTTGGGTATGTTGATTTAGTAGTGTGGTTCTTTGAGATAAAATACAAAAAAAAGGTGCTCACACCTGAAGAAGGCTCCACGGCCAAAACGTTGTGTTTTCTTTCTTCTTTTTTTCAGCATGGAATAAACCTATTACTTGTTCTTTGACAAAAAAAATGCCTGTTTCTCTGTTTAGTACTTAGTTTTACAGTTTTAGCAATTTTAATTCAACTGTTCCTCTGCTATGTATAATGGCAAACCTATCTGGAATTGTTCTGTTCAAAATCTGACAGAAATACACTGTAAGAATTGTACTTCATGTCCAAATTACAGAAAGAGTGACAAGAACATGGCCAAGCACTTTATCCAGAGGCAGACGCATCAGCTGCCAGGACTGTGTTAATGCTCTGGGAGGTTAATACCTGGTGCTATTTTGTGATTTCCTTTTTCACTCTAACAGCTTATTATTTTTCAAACTTAAAACATCTTATGATTTTGATCTGTATTTGTGTTTGCATTTTCTTGTGAGTGATGCATATAAAAATTTCATTAAATGTATTCAACCTGAGTGGTTTACGATTTTAATTTGATTTATTAAATGTATATAGTACTCCTCATAATGCCCTAGCAATTCTTAAACCAATTAAAAGTTCATTGCACATTTGTCTTTACACAACAGGTCAATGAATCTAAAACTATCCTTAAATTGTGTGACTTTGGATCAGCATCCCATGTGGCAGATAATGACATCACCCCATACCTTGTTAGTAGATTCTACCGGGCACCAGAGATCAGTAAGTAGTTTTGTTGCATTACTGTTTTTCAACACTGGTAGTCTTGGTAAAACCCACGTTTTATCAATAAATCCTTTTTAAAACAATCTTGTGCGAAAAATATCATGTGATAAACATATTTAATTGTATCTTTCTGCAGTCATTGGAAAACCATATGATTATGGGATTGATATGTGGTCTGTGGGCTGCACCCTATATGAACTGTACACTGGGAAGATCTTGTTTCCAGGCAAAACGAACAACCACATGTTGAAACTTGCAATGGACCTCAAGGGAAAAATGCCTAACAAGGTAAGAATAACCATCAGAAAGTTCTGAAGTGCAAATTCTGAATTCCTGATTGTTTTAATAAGTTTGATGACAAAACAGTTGCATTGATATATTCAAAACCGTTATGTGGTTGCTTCAATCAGAACTATGAAATGTGAAAAATGTGGGGTTAGTATCTGTGAAACAGCATAGCTTCAAGAGTTCATTTTTTTAGTATTTCTGTCCTGGATAGAAGCTTTTGATATGTGCACCTTAGAATAGCTACAGTCTGTGAAACACGCTGGTCTTATCATGATTATTTAACATTTTAATAACTGCTACAGATGAAGTAGTACAATTTTGCTTCAGTATCCAAATGTCCTTTACTCTTATTGATGAACAAGTATGTATTTGTAGTCACAGATTTTTAAGTAAAAATGGTTGATGAATAGTTCCTACTTTTAATGCAGCAATTGCATCTACCTGTAGAGAGCATGAAGATCTGTTCTGCAACTGTAGTCCCAACTTTTCCACACCGAAGGTTAATAAACATTGTTTTGATTTTGAAAACCATGTTTTATGTAGATAAAACCTGTTTTAGATGTTTGTACACTGTGCGCAAAACAAAATGCATTTGTTCTCCACAGATGATCAGGAAAGGCTTGTTTAAGGACCAGCACTTCGATCAAAATTTGAACTTCCTGTACATAGAAGTAGATAAAGTGACTGAAAGGGTATGTATTTTCTCATCCATGCCGGTTTTTGTATTTTTATTCAATCCTATGTTTAGTTGGCCAGGACCCTTTTTGTCCTTGACATCTCCCATAGTTTGTTTCCTGTTGCCAGTTCCAGTTATAGTGCATTCGATAACTGTGTTCATAAACCTGTGTTTGTGTTTCTCTGAACAGGAGAAGGTTACAGTGATGAGCACCATTAACCCTACTAAGGACCTGTTAACTGACATGGTTGGCTGTCAGCGGCTGCCAGAAGATCAGCGCAAGAAGGTTATCCAGTTGAAGGACTTATTGGACCAGATACTGATGCTGGACCCAGCCAAGAGAATCAGCATCAACCAGGCACTTCAGCACCCATTCATTCAGGAAAAGATCTGACAACAGAACAAGTACATTGTGTCTCACAAAATAGCTACAGAGACTGAAGGATTCATAGCAACCATATTTTTAAGTAATGTTTATTTTTGACCCACAGATTTTTGTTTTATTCTGAAATACAACCAAAGTAGGGGTCCAAGAATTCTCAGATGACCAGGAAGACTAATTTACTCCCTTTGACCATTGGCCCAATTTAGTTGGCAAGTTTTCATTTCCTTACTGGTCATTCCAGATGTTCTTAGAAATTGTTAAAGGTTGATCTTCCTCCATTTTTTTTTATTTCCTTCCATTTTAAAACGGCTTATTCTTGGGCCCTTGCAGGTAATTGTTGCAGAAGATATAATTATTGTACATAAATTATTGTATTGTTGAGATTCTGATTGTAGCGAAGGTTTATGGGTTGCCAAGGCTGCACAAAGAAGACAAAAAGCTTTCAATGATTGTACACATCTTTTATGTAGTGTATTGTTTCATCAATACATTTTTATATATTCATGTGTTTGTTCGTGCAGCTCTGGCAACCAGTCTTTCTGTGAAAAGGCCAGCGTAAATGCTGTTTATATTCACATTTTCCTAGGTGTATGTGTGCAGGCCACAGCAGCATGCCCTTGGTGTATTTCTGTGCCGAAGGGGGTCTGTCCTACTTGAGCCTGCCTGCAGGGATGGTCTCATCTTTTAAAGCAGGTTGTGTACCACTTTCAGTACACTGAAGGTAAGCTTAAACCCATCAACTTCACTGGTGCTCTTACCAATTAGTACAGTGGCAAGTTTGTTCTGAAGAGTGGCTTTTTGGCATTTTGCCTCATGCATGTGTCTAAATGCAAATCCTCCTGAAGCTGTGTGCAGATGGTTTGTTTTTGTTTTTATTTAGTTTTTTCCCTCCAAAATGGCTTGCAAATGCAAAAGTGTACAGCCAACAAACCAATTACTGTGGGGGGGAAATAGGGAAGTTTTGATGGATGATGGCGCCTTCAGTGTACTGCTTCTTTTATAAAATCTTTCAAATCTTTGCAGAAGTGTTCACACCTTTCTCAAAATAAAGTGTAGTCCATACATAAATGCTTTGTTTTTTCTTTTAGTAAATGCATGTCAGGGCTAAAGGGGCATTTTGTCTTAGTTTTAAAAAGTTGCATTTAACTTCATTGAAAGTGTGCACTTTTTATGATTACAGACTTTTTTTGTCGTTTTGACTTTTCTCATTTATGTGACCGTGTTGTCTTTCAATACAGGCATAATCCTTCTGCTCTTGAGTATACACCTGCTTGTTTTAAGCGGTAATTGCTTCTTTACCTTTTCCTTTGTACTGTTAAAACATCTTGGGGGTTTTAAAAGAACCAAAAGTGTAGTGTTGCCCAATCTAATTTTGTCTTTGCTTATTGTAATCTCAGTAGACTTCCCTGCATGTCAAGTGGACCATGCAGATTTACTGTAAATTTTTATTATGCATCATAAAACATCATAAAATAAAGTCTTCTGTGGAAAAAACGGTTGTAGACATTAAGATATTTTTGTGGTGATATTTTTATGCACTAACCTGTTTTTAAATTTATAGCTTTCCGTTTTAAACCAGACAGAACAGCTTTTCCTTAACACTTAATTCAAGAGAGGTGGCCAAAAAAAACTTGAAAATACAGATTTTTGCTTTGAGTTGACCTCAGTTGCAGCTTATTTGTGGTGTAGAGGAGTAATGTTTGGTTAAACCTGACAATCACATGCTGTTTGCTTCTTTTAATCTAATTGATGTTTGTGATGTTTTCTCACTTTTCCCTCTGGTCGCTGAGAGAGAATGAAATCAAGTAAAGCTTCCAAGCCAGGAGGCACAGTCCACGTCCTCTACTCCGTGGTTCTGCTTTGAAAGAGACAAGGCCTTCATCTACTTAACAAGGTCATTTCTGATGGCATGTGTAGATAAAACATGTGGCATTAAATGAGTTAAAATGCTTACGGCTAACTTAAAACTGTCCGTAAATACTGACCCCATTTGTTGGTGAAAGGGAGAAAAGTTCACCTCTTTTTCCATGAACTGTGCTTTGAGCATTACAAGCAATCCAAACCTCCGGGAAATGAGAGTAAAACACAGCGACAGACTGTTGGCAAAAAATTTAGGACAACTTGATTTTTCTGTCTTCGGGAAGGTGGGGCTTTACAGATTTCCTGAGTTTACCTAGGGCTGCATTCACAGCAGTTACCCTTGCCTTTGGTATCCTTGCTTTCACATTTACCTTTGCAGTTTTTGTCCTTAGGCAGTTGACCTCGTCACGTTTCCACCACAGGGTCTTCAAATTTTTTAAACCACCCACACACCCACCCTCTCACACACTCACTCTTTGGAAAAATCTCACATTTTCACTTCTGTAACCTGATGTTCTGGAAGGACAATCTTATTTTAGCAAATGAAGTTGTAATATAATACAGAAGGTTATGAATAGGTTTGCTACAATTCATATATATATATAAACCTGTTTCAAAAATGCATCAAGATGCTCGTTTATGTGTTCTTTGTATCCTAGGTGCAGCCCATTTGAAGACTACAAGGATTCCAAGACCTGGACAAAGGTTTCTGTTCTAGAAAAAGATTTCTGTTAACCCTTTTACTGTAAAATGTAATTGCTTGAATTTGTGTCCTTGGTTGTGTAAACGTGGTTGCAGTAGCTACCCTTTCCCTTTAAGAAGTAAATAAGATATAAAAACTAGAAAATTAGATAATTATAAGGTTTTGATCTAGAGTGATAAAGTGTAAATTACATTATTGTCTGTTTCTATGAACATACTTTATTCAAGCAGTAAATTCATTCATCTTAATTGGATTAATTTTAGTAGCCTAAATGTTTATATATTGAAAACATTTTGGCTCAGTTTACAAGAATGCACACTCTAGGTGGTTTCTTAAATAACCTGTGGTTTTTCAGATGCAACGTGAAATTATCGTTTCGTAGAAGGGAGGTCTGTCTTGAGAGCCAGTGTGTCTGCAGACTTTTCAGTTCTCTTTAAAAAGGCAACACTTGAAACAAGCTTTAATTTGATTCATTTATTTCAAACAAATTAGCTAATTTAGGTTAATAGTTAAGTTGGAATAATGTCCTACAGACATTACACCAGCCCTCCAGGACTCTGATCAGAATACCCTGCTTTGTAAGAAACATGGCCCCTTTCACTAGTTGATATTGGGATGTTTTTACATGTATATACTGTGATATATGCTGGTTAATCTGTCAGCACGAGGTTTTTGCAGCTGGGTTGAGGCATGGCTATAATTATACAGTCTTGCAGGATTTCAGGAAAGTAATGATTTTTCACTGGTTGTGTGAAACCTATACAAATACTGGAGAAAGATGCATAATCTTGACACTACCAGATTTTTTGCAGAAGAGCACAGCTGCATCTGCTAGCTTTTCTTCTGTAAGTTTTCAAATGGTAGAGTGCTTAAGCCAGAAGAAAACTCATGACATTGTCCTATAGTGCGACACCACATCCAGTTTCACTATAAACACTTGAAAAGAACATTTACATAGCTTTTTCAGTCCCTGCATTTTGAGATTTATAAAGGCATGCCCTGTGTTGCCCTTATCAGGGAATGTTTTAAAGGATAAAGGGTGAGTAATGTTGCTGATGAGCTGGAAATACCCATGTCAACTATAGACCATCATCTAGAAATGCAGGACATGAGATTTTGAAAAACTATAAGGCCTAAAGCACGTCGCTGTTCTTGTGACTGTTAACGGAAACCTAGGTATTCAGATTATAATCCAAGCTATGGTTTAAAAGTCATTTCTTTACACTTCTCCATTTACTTTTTAATTTTTCTTTATATTCTTGATTTTGGACCACCAGATCAGGATACATTTTGATGCATTGATACTAAATACAATTTCTATATTTATTGCACAAATACCTATTCACGTTGTACCTGAATGCCCAACCTAACTGGAAAGAATACATCTAGATTTGTACACTATTTCCAAATACAACAAAAAAATGTCCCCTATTGTTGGTGGTGTATCAGCGATCAGCACTGTGCAGGTAATATTTTCTTACTTTTGGTAGAAATACACAGGGAAATTTAATGAGAAATACAATAAGTTTTTCTCTCTTTCAGGGTAAGTGGCTCCGCTGGAATGATGTTTGTGCAGAGAAGAATGGAGACGTAATAAAGCATTGCAGCAAACTACTTATTTTTCAATTAAAAGTGCATTTTTATATTAAGTATTTTTCATTCTCCATTGTAAAATGCATGAAATTTTATCACATACTGAACATAAAATAAAACTTAATTGAAACAGTCTTCCTCATTATTTAGTAGCACAATATTTCTCCCACAATGCCATTACTAGTATTTTGTATCCATTTGTTTTTAAAAGGAAAAAGTGACATAGCATCCATTCACAGTTTAAACACTGATCCAAACACCATGCTACTGTCCCTGTTTCATGTCTTTAATTTTTCTTGCTGTAGGTTGCCAAAACCGAGTCATAGATTTAGTTTTCCCATAGATCCGTTCAGGACTGAACAGTTTGTCTGTCTTGGGAACACAGGTGTGCTTAGACCTACTTTCTTTGACGATCTTGGTCTTCTCAATTTCCTGGAAGTCCTCAAGGATGAGGAATCCTGTGTAGATACTGCCCCTGTAAGCTTGGAGGAAAAGGTTTGATTCCTACATGTAACGACAGAGCTTGAGTGTGGTCGATTAACCTGAACTGACTTTGTACTTGATTCTGCCTTTTTAATGCAGTTTTTTTTAGATTCACATGCAGTCTTTGGTCGTTTCATAGAATGTTTCTTTTTAGACCTTATATTACAAGAGATTTTCCAATCTGACAACTCGGATTGATAGTTTAAATTGAAGAAAGAAGACCAAGTCTCTGAAGCTCTGCTTTCAGAAGCAGTAAAGTTCTCTGACAGGGGCCCTCCAGATCCCAATATCTCAAATTTGTGGTTACTTTTCATAGAACCAGCAGCAGTGCCAGGTCGGGAACGGCTCATCTTGGATTTTTCCTTTTGTATAGTCAGCTGTTGCATCTTTTCCATTTGTATCAAACGAGAGACTATGGGTGCAACTGAAGAGTCTTGCAGGTGTAATTTCTTTATGCTGTCCAATGAAAGCAAGGATCCTGCTTTGTCTAAACTTCTTAAAGATGCAGGGAGAAACTCTGGGTAGGAAAATGTACAGGTGTCCAAGTCTGAATTCAGGACAGAATCATCATCATCAAATGCCTCTGGTCGCAATTTGAGTGTAACTGGACTACTACAGTTTTGAACCGTACTATCTCCCTTTTCATAATCTGATAAATCACTATCATCTGAGGTGAGGTCCAGATTGATATTCCTGTGTTTGTCTGTTGATACATTTGTAATACACTTGCCCCTGACTTCTTCAAAGCTGGCTGGGCCTGATGAGGCAGTAGAATCACTGGTTCTTTCTTGAACATCCCTTGTTTCTTCTCTTTCATGTAATCTGAGAGGTATATCCTTGGGTGCAAAAAAGCCATTTTCTCTTTGATAGAGGGATGGAGTGAAGCATTTAGTTCTAATCAAGTTGCAGTAGGTTATTGAATTTGTGCAGTTCACCAGACTGGTTTGCTGATTTTGCAGATTGTGTGAACTGAAAGTACATTACAAAAACTCATTAAGAATGTTAACTGAGAGGGGGATAGTGCTATATTGCACATCCTGCAAAAATAGGATACACAAAGTGATACAGATTTTATAAATGATCTAAATTAGTGTATTTGATTTAAATATCACCAGTCACATCGAAATGATCTCTTGGTTGCCATGATTCCAATGAATGGTCCCAGAAGTTACCTTAAAGGTTAAATGGAATAGGCTATGCATGCTTTACAAGGGGTTCAGCATGAGCAGCATATACTGTAGGTTAAACAAAAGCGGATTAGTTCATATTCTGTACTAATGGGTAAAAAGAAATGATTGCACACTCATTAAAGAACCAGTTGAAATTTACAGGTCAACTAATAAAAGACTATAACACTGTTTTATATAAAGTATCCGTGGTATAGTATGCACAAGCCTTTTAAAAAGGATTGCCACTGAACACGTTTCAGATCAACCTACCATGAGGGAGATTCCCAATTGCTGTAACCCCTGTTGGAATGAGGTCCCGAATATTCATTTGAATGGAGTTTGGGAGGGAAAATCTAGGACAAAAAATAAAATGCAAGTCTTTACAGGAAACTGAGCACTTTTTAGCCAGCTATGAATTTCTTTAACAATATCACATTAAAAATAGAGAGCAGTTTAAACTCAAATGAATATGGGATTCCATGAGCCAATGGAAAATGCACTGAACCCCAGCAGAAGAGGAGTACATTTGTTAATAATGATGAAAAAAAAACATTCTGAAATGTACTGGATTGAAATACAATATCTTTAATTTAATTTTTTAAAAGTTTTTTTTACAAGTGTATTGAGTGCAATGTATAGATCACCATATTAAAGCGATGGCTAAAATATCTAGGTGGTTTTTCTTGTTTTTAACAGTTTTAATAAGTTTTCGAATTTTTGATTCCAAAGTTTGCAGCTTTCAAACAGCTTTTCAATGTGAATATGCAAATAGCAGAGGTGTAAGAACATTACTTGTGGTGAAAGACTTCACAAGCTAAAACTGCACTTTTCCAATACACAGTTTTGTGGTTAAAAAGCACTTGAGATTACATTAAAACAGACTTATTGGCTCATTTGTTGTTTTTTTCATGAAACTACTGAAACAGCCAGTGAAATTGAAAAATATTGCTTTATACCGAGATGCTTTAAAAATTCAGCAAATGAAAATTGTAACCATTCTAACCACTTTATGTAGTAAAATGTTCCATTTCTATGTAAAAATATAAATCAAGCCCATCAAATATGCAGTATCTTACACTTAAATGTATTTTTATTCCCACTTCTAGCCAATTTGTCATGGAACTGTTCATGCTTGTGGTTATAAAGGTTTCATTTCATTGCTTCGGTACTTCACATTAGTGAGTTAATGTGACAAGGCAATGGTGATTGCTGGAAAACAAATAAATCTAAAATCTCAATTTGGATATGCAAGTCCAGCCTTTCATGCCAAACCTTTCACCAAATGTTCAAAATGTACCTTATACCATTAAAAATCTAAGAAACGTTTTATTGACAATTTAAGGTCCATTCAGTCTCTTAGTCTTGCTATTAGGATGCTACTGGGACCTGTCTCCTCATTTTTATCTGAGACATTAAAACTTTTTTTCCTCTTACTCCATCAGAAAGCAAATTTAGTTGCTCACAGCTGGTTAATAATTGCTAACTATCTGAAGAGCTACAGTCAAAATATTAAAGTGAAGCTTTGTAACACTTAATCACCTTTGGAGTCTCCTAAGAATTCATTGAGGAGTGAAAGTTATAAATAAACTGAATACCTTTGGCCTCCTGTTGCATTTCCTGGACATGCTGAGCTCTTCCAGCTGACGGAGCAGCAACCTGTACCTCTCTTGAGAAAAAGAAAGGTTCTACAGGAAGAGAAAAAGATTCTTCATTAACATTTTTTTTGTTGTTGTTGAAAAGAATATACAATGTACTCATACTGTAACAGTGACCCACGAAATATCATCATCAAGCACTGCTTATGCATTTTCAAATCACGTTCTCCCATTAAGTGAGATAGAACTATTTGTAATGCTTTGAGATTGTCAGCTGAAATGTTTTTTTTTTTACTTTTCTGCATGGCTTTAACTTTTGCCTTATATAGGCAAGTGCCACCTCTATACTAGAATGACAACAAAAGATTTCCATTGATATTATATCGTATATGAGGAATATTTGTCCTCTGGTTAGAGTAGAGACTGCAGTAAATCATTCCACTTATATACTATGCTATTTATGTTTCTGGGGAATAACAGAATATATTGTACTAGCACCATGGGTGTCTGGCAGTCTGGAGTAGAAAACAAATCTTTAGTAATTAACCGTAAAGATTTTTTATATCCAATTCAAAGCGTTGATATAGAGGGGTTTGTGCAGTTGACTAACGACTACAACGAATTCTAGCAATGGTATTACAGATATACAATTAAGATTTAAAGAAGTCTACTTTTGATTTGTACTGCACGAACATTTAATACCTTTAATAAATTTAATTTCGTTTTGTTTCTAAAGTTGAATTGACTTGTAGTAGAGAAAAGCTCAAGCATTTAAGCACTTTAAAATGACTACGTAATAATGTGAAGTATTTCATTCTTTCTTAAAAATAAATTCAAAAGTGGTAATACAAAAAAAGACTTCAAATAGTGCTGTTCGATGATTTTGTACATTTAAGTTGTGAACTGCTCTTGCAATGCTCAAATTCAATTAAAAATACAGCTATGATGCTCCGTACAGTACGTCTCGACTAGGAAGCTGTATACATTTAAAAGTAATTAAACACATTAATCAAGGAACTAATCAATTTAAGAAATACAAATTTATCAGTTTCTATTTCTCCCGTCGAAGTAATGACGGCGCCCTTCTCTTGTTTTCGAGTTCCCCCCCAATAAGCATGGCTCCGTTTACACCGTATTTGCGGACAGCAAATTCGTGCCCGTTGAGAAGTGTCTCTGTATGAATCGTAGGCCATCAACTTTTCTACTACTTACACCTACAACCTTCCGTCCTCCGTTTGTCAAAGAAGTCTGGTCCTTTTCAGAATAGCTGGATGTGGCCAGGCAGTTGCATTCGTTGCTTCCGTGCATTCTGAAATAACCCAATGAACTTTAAAAAAAAAAGTTACACTGACAGGTCGCAGACCACTGCGTCTCAATTGTTTCTTGAACTGGTTATACAGCCTTACGATCACCAGCTGTCACTAAGAAACACACGACACTACGGCTTGACTAAAAATAATAACGTCTCAGATTACTATCCCTTTGCATTCTGCATTTAGCATATTGCTTATTATTGAGACAGCTTGCCCATTGAATCCATTATACAGTTGGTGGTTTAACAGAAATGTACTTTTAAGATATTGCAGTTTAACAGTATAGAATACATGGGAAATGGCCCACACGATCCCCTTTCTCTCCCTGCAGAAATGAGGATGACTGATACCATGACAACGACAAACCGCAGCCTCTGAGGAATTCATGAATGAACTGCAAACGCAGCAGCTATTATAAACCAGAGCTTTAACAGCAGTAATCGTAAATTGAATTGTTTAAACCGTAAAGTATTGGATATTAACGTATACACACACCGTATATTAAGGCTGTCTGAATTAATATACGGTCAAATATCAATTTAATTTAAAATAATTCAAAATCAAGATTCTAAAATGCTTCCAAATTAGCAGACACAAACACAGAGTACGTAAAGAAGAGTCTGCCTCTTAACCCATAGTTTTAAGACGAAATTCAAAAACTATTCTGTTGCGTTAGCACGGGGATTTACGGAAAATGAAATTATAAACTGTCAATTTAATATCGAGATTGTTATGCAATTGAATTACGAGAGCTATACAAAATAGACTTTGTAACTAAACTAGGTGTCTAATTCAGTGCTGAATAAAAATGACAGATCTTAATAGTCGATATTCCCACCTATAATATCTGCAAGCCCTTTATTACTCATAGCTCTGAGTTTAAATAGTACATACTCGTCTTTACATGAATCTACGATATATTAATATCTTCATTAGTCAAACGTGGAAATGAAGATTTTTGTTTCTCCCACGTTTTTCAGTTTCTGTGTGCAGTTACAATACCACAGTTTATGCACAAGTCAGTTTTGTTACCATGGTATATGCATGTCGTGACACTATAAAGCAATGTGAGAATTTTAACTATTAAGGGGAATTTCGGGACACACTTGTGAATCTTCTGATTGAGAAATTATAGCAATTTAATACAATAACTACTGTGCCAGACAATATAACACTAAGTTTCAGTCAAAAAGTCAGCTCTTCACAAGATTTACTAGAAAACAGGTTAAAACAAAAAAACGAAAACTACGAAGTCGTCCGGGAATTGTTTCATCAGAAATGTCACGGACTTCTAGTTGTATAATTCTTTGGATTATTTTTCCAAACTTTGGTGTGATGTAAAGGAGAATAATATAGAAAACGCAAGCTCCAATACTTTTATTAAACGCAAAATGTATCTATGCTACCTTGGCCTGTAATATGTAGAAAATTGAATAAAACAATATATCTGTATATAATTCGGTAAACACGAGAATGTTACAATGAATATTAAACTTCCCTTTCCTTTTCCCCCCCTCAAGTAACACAGAATATAAACTCATTTTAATGCCAGAAATACTTACATATATCCATATGAACTGATCTGAGCAGAGCCTGCTGTAGTACATGATGAAGGATCCAAACAGATTGAAAAAGGAGAATGCAACAATCTCTCCTTTTTGTTCTGCCCTAGAAAAGGCCTTGTGGCCCCTTCTGTGCAGGTAGGTCTTACAGAGTTGTGGTCATGCACCCAGCCATTTTTCAAAAGCATGCAGTTCTGTCCTGTTTGAAAGGAACTGTGCAATACCACAGTGGCTTTGGGTAAAAGCAGTTGCTTCTTTACTGTTTTAGGCTCCATTTTTTAAAATCCCCACAGAACAAGACAAAAATCTCACTGAGCCATGTCGGGTTCTACAGATCTAACCATGTACAGTAGTTAATGATATACCTAAGTTTGCAAGTATCAACAAGCAAGGAATGGGGGATTTCATCAGAAATAAATAAAACAGTCAAATGTAGTACACTTTGAAACTATATTAAGGAGAATTAGTTCCAGAAGTCATGGTCTATAGTAAGCAGCAAAATGTCAAATATTGTCTTGATCTACCACGGTGATCTTTTTAATATTTAAATGCTGACCAAGAGATGGTCTTTTATGTTAAATACATTTGTACTTTTTGTACCGATTTATGCGTTTTGCACCTTATTGACATTTTGAATACAGTAACTTTTAATTGTTCAATGAACTATTGAATAAATCAACAAACATTCATGACTTTACTGTTTTTAAAATGCATAACCCACTATACAGTTTATACAGTCTGCTCAGGACGTGGATTAAATCATTGTATTCTAGAGATGGTACTGTGTGCACAAAAGATACTGGGGCTTAAGTCACCAAGCCAAAAGAGCTGCAATATATATAGTAAAAGAAGCACTCACATTTTATCGTGTATTCAGAATAGGTTGTCTTCATTCAAATGTATACAGTACATTTTAGGTGAAAAAAACAAACTGAACATTATTATAATATGGAATACAACGGTTCATAAAACTGCCAGACAAATCAATTATAGTGATAACTAAGAACTAATTTTAGTACTTTTTGCAAAATGTATAACTGTTAATTACTTTAATCCTGAATTTGACAGAGGGCATTGCTTAAATAACATTGTGGCAACTCTTTAAATTCATTACCTTATTATATTTACCTTGAAATATCTTTTGATCATATTTTTTTAAGATAACACTGTTACCTAGTGTTCGCATATCAGACATTACATTAGCCTGCATACTTCATAAAGTTTAAAAAAACACAGGGTACACAGCTCCACTGTAAAATGTAAAAATAGACAGGCGTTTCTACAAATTGTGTTTTTAAAAACAATTATGACTTTCTTCATTTAAGGGGCACGTAAACATACAGTGGAAGGCACTACACTTTAATGCGCAAATAGTTGTGAGTAGGTTCATTATTCTTTCAGAAAGCTGCTTAACAAGTGGACTTTTGTCCTGCCATGCAATTACAGCTTTTGCGCATGTGAAAACCTGCTATTGCTCACTACAACTTTGACTTTGCTTGAAAGAAGCTCATAATTGCATTCATGCACTCATCAGAGAGCCATCTCTCCACAAGTCTCTCACACTCCTGGTTATTGACAAGGTGTAGTTTCTCCTTTTCAATCCCCCGGATCAGCTGTTTGGAAAAGGCCAAAGACTGGGGGAAAAAAAGGAAAAACATCATATTCTTAGAGCACAAATTCTTTAAGTATTTCTCTCTTATGGTATTAAATTCTCCTAACAAAAGACACAAAGACAAAAAACGTTTAAAAGATGAGTGGTATTTGCCATTTCTAAGCTACTGCTTAGGCCAACAGAATATATACTTCCCAATATACCACCTGTGTAATTATCAGTTTCAAATACAATAAAAAGGTATTTATACTGGACAATTGTAGAATTATGAGTTGTCTACTAACAAATGTTCCATGTTATTTTGACATCGGTATCTCATACAAATGGAAGTCTACAATACAAATACCAGTGGTATTAAAGAAAATGCATAAAGTCTTGCAACAACCAAAGAAGAAACCTAATTTTATCTGCTCCGTGTTAATCTAAATTGAACACAAGATGTGGATATTGGGTAGTAATTGCCAAGACTGAGCTATATTTTCAGTCAAGTATGAGGCATAAAGAAATTTCAGAATGTTCAATGCTTTTGATTAGTAATATAGTGAATATTAGTACAGTTAAACAATTCTAGAAAAGGCCATGGCTTCTCTCTGCATCACAAATCCAATGCATTAAAAGTTGTTATATTTAATGGAAGAAATCAAAGATTACAGGCAGTTGCATGGATATAGAATAATAAACTTGAATGCATTTAAAGAGGTTTTGATCTTTAAGCCCAGTTTGGTACGTGGTAAAAAAATCCTTGCATAAGTCAGACAAAGATAGTGTTCACATGTCTGTGAGGAACAAATAACAAGAGGATGTAGATGGTATAAGCAAAGTGAGATGTTTGAAAATGATGTGTTTCCCTTTCTTCGAAAAGCAACAGAATCGAACAGATTGAACCGACAAATGAAAACACCTACATTCTTGGGAAGCTTGGCGTACTCTTTCAGCCGAGTCCACACCTCCTTCTGAAAAGTGCTGTCTGGAAAGACCTCCGTGACCAGGCCCAGGTTACAAGCTTCATGGGCTGTGAGCTTCTTATTGAACAGCAGCATCTCATTGGCCTGAGAGCAGCAGAGCCACACAGGTTACTCAGGAACATCAGGATACTAATTCTCATTGCAGTAACTCTTACCAACTACATTTATCCTCATCAATGACATATTGCATGGGATTCCCAATTACATTCAAAGTGAATCTTACTATGGATAAATTGATTTGTAAAGTACATACAGTAAGAGCGTATCAGTGATCCAAACTTTTCTTATGCTTTCCTTTTTTATCCAGTGACCTTACCGCTGCCATCTCAGTATTTTTGTGGGTGGATTTTTATTCTGGGTGGTTATTTATTCCTGTGATTTCTCAATGAAAATAAATGTTTTTTTATATATATATACTTGGTCTAAACTTACATATGGAGTAAAACAATTGATATACAGTGTGCAAGTCCTACAAAATGCTGCTCCATACTGTATTACCCAAATTTTAAAACATTAAAACAAGCAGCTGTGCTCTATAAATAATATGTATACCACACAACATCAAGGATAAAACAGAACAGATCCGAACCAAAGGTAACACATAATATACCTTTAATGCATTATAAACAGCATGATGAACACAGAAAGCTTGTACGTGTACCACCCGGTATGGAGAATTTGTGAATTTCCTAATTTAATCTGTATTATGCCATGCCAGTGTTTTCCTTGTAGTGTTGTTAATCCCAGGTATTGTTAAAAAGAAAATACATCTCAACAATCTTCCCACATGATTAAACAATAATCCCTTCTCTGTAATTTGACGTCTGTTACTCTAAGTGCTTGTGTAAAAATAAAACCTGTCACAGACAGCATGGACCTTCAACGCTTGAGGCTCTGCCTCATTAACAAGAAAGGATGACTGGTCTCACCTTTGCGTTGCCCATGATCTTGGGGAAGACGTAAGAGGAACATCCTTCTGGACTCTGACCTAGCTGGCTAAAGGGTGTGTGAAATGTAGCCTGGTTGAAACAGAAGCAGAGTTATATATGATGTTCTGCACAACAGAAATATACCAAAATGGTCTGCATCACCTTTTATTTGCATCAAGACTGACATATTTTTATGCCTTTTCTCTTATGGTATACATATATGGGTATTTCCTCGGTTCAAGGAAACGTTCCCTGCACCCCTGTAATTCATAACTTTGGAAGTTAAAAAGGGAACTGCAATACTATTTTTTATATTTCAGGGTTAGAATGAATCAGCACTGATTAGTGCATTTCAAACCACAATAAAAGGTAAATGTACACAGTAACATGTAAAACCTCCAATTTACATCACAAAATAGATTACATTTCCAAGTATGTACAGAACAAGGCAACACAACGTCTGGTGAGATGAAGTGGCAATAACAGATACTGTAAATTAATAGACAATGTAATAGACACTGTAAACAAGCAGGCTTGTGAATACATCTCTTTTGATCCAATAGAAATATTGCTGTCAGCTTTGAGACGGTTTTGTTGCTAAATGGAAGTTAATCGTTAACTTTATAAAGATGACTTCAGAATATTTCTGTCTGCTGCACAACATGTATTTACTTGCTCACACATCACATTACATTAGTCATTCCAGTGACTAGTGATCAGGAAGGACCACTTCACATCGCAACTTGCATGAACTCTCTCGTCCGTGGGGAGACCAGGGCTTTGCGACATGACGACAAAGTTCTTTCAGAAAGTTCACGACTTTGTGCTTAATTCGAAATTTGTACAAATCTATGCCACAAAATTCATTTTGTGTCATTCTTAACCCAATAGGCAGTGGAACAGGAAATGCTTTAGAGATGGGACGAATACTGGAAGCTGAGTGGATTTTATGGCAACACACAGTACCCTCCCATCATGTGAGAGTTGGTTTGCGTTTGATTTTTAATCTGTTCGGGACATGACACTCCATTACAATCAAATTCTCCTTTGCAGGGCTGCTCATCCCAAAAAGCACAAACACAGCATCTCAAGAAAACCTACCCTGTCGGTGGCGTAGACTACATCAAAGAGTCCGAGCAAGGTGACCACAATTCCTACGGCAGGGCCATTAACCACAGCAATCAGAGGCTTAGGAAAGTCAATGAAAGTCTCGACAAATTCTCTGCAAACAAGAGCGAATTCAAGGAAAAAAAAACACAAAGGGGGCTTTCAGACACAAGAAAACCATCAGGCCGTTGCTTGAAAATACTGGTCTGTGAATAACATCACTCCTTATACACATTCCTTTCCTCTGATCATTATCAAAATTTCAGCTTTTGTTGATGTAAAGGCTGCAATCTTTTTTTTCACCTTTATTAAGATCTTGTAAGCAACAATACTTAAGTAAAAAACAAATGTATCATTTTTAGGAAAAATAATTTAAAATAAAAAACTTTCAATGCCTCAGTTGCGTATGTGTGCACACCCTTTACATCAACAAAAGCTGAAATTTCAATGAGGGTGTGTAGACTTTTGATATCCACTGTGTTTCAGAATAGTCTGAAAACCTGACTGCTACCCCATACTACTTTCAGCTACAACACAGGCAAGCCACGACCTGTATAAGTACAGTGCGTAAGATCAATGCAGATTCTAACAAATCAAGCAAGGTTTTTCAATTATTGGTGTTTGGTAACAATAAAAATGCACTGATTGGAAAAGAATGTGTAAGTAGGAACTATTTTCCTGGCAATCAAAATTATCAAATGGTTCTTTTCCATTTTAATAAATACTGCCTCAAATAATCAAGAAAAAGATTTGGATAATTAGGACATAAAACTAATTGAATATTATCAAAATAATGTTTTGGGACATTTTCAACTATATAGAGGCCAATTTATTTTAAAAATCATCATTTTAAAATGTCAAATGGTTTTGGAGTTTGATCTTCAAATTTTGACAACTGATTGATGGAAACAGTTTAAAGTTTTAATTCTGGAACAAAAACCTATGGGAATCACTTTTCATGGATAACAAACAAGTTAATGCCAAATTATATGGAGATATAGATATATAGACAGTTTTAACTTATTTTGTTACATGTTAGTCTAAAAGTATTTTAATATTCTAAGAAATCTGTAATGGAGAAAGGAAAGAAGTATTACTTATATTACTACAGAACATGTTACACAAAGGCCCTGTGCATGATCTTCTAAAAGCAGCAATATGTAAAAAAATCACTGACTCCTTAATTGGTTCTTACCTGAGTAAGTCTCCTGAATCCTTTGCCATTTTCTCTACACCTCCAGCTGGAATGTTTGTGAAGTTATTCAGGTCATTTCCACTGGAATAAAAATTACCACTGCCTAGTCCATAAGCAAAAAGAAAGCAAAATAAGTGCCCTTGCAAACATAAATGGTTCAACTATTCTCTGTTACTACCTGACAGGTCATTTTTAAGATAAACAGAGAAAAACACACCACCTAACCTCACTCTCTCATTCCAGTCACTATTCTAGCCTGGAAAAGATGAAGAAACCACAGAAATTTTCAGACTGGTATGACGATCATTGAGCCACTTGCTATTTTTCCACACTGTATGCACACTGAGGGCTGAGCTGTGACTGTGTCTGAAACAGACTTTACAAGCAGCACACAGGCTGTCAACACACCAAGATCAGCAAGAGTCTTGTTCGAACCTGGCTAACTGTGGACACCCTAAGCCCATAATCAATATCAGCTAGTTTAACAGCCTAGAGCCAGTAACCTCCAGGATTCTGAGCACACTAGAAGCAAAGCATGATTTTGGCACTCCTGCCTTGAAGTAGTCAAACTATGGTTTACTAAGAGAGCCTGTCTATCCAAACATGAAAAAATTACCGAAACTTCATATGTAAATATTGTGCCCTCAGGTTTGTACGTCATGGTAGCATAGTGGTTAGCATTGCTGCCTCACAGCACTGGGGCCCTGGGTTCAATTCCACACTTGGTGTGCTACCTGCACGAGTTTGTGTGGGTTTCCTTCTGGTGCACTGGTTTAAAACCACAGTAAAAACAAAACATATAGGTAGGCTCATTGTCTTCTGGGAAAACTGGCCCTTATGCAAGTGCCCTGCGGTGGACTGGCGTCCAGTTAAGGGTGTATCCGGCCTTGAACTGGTTTGAAAAAATTTGCCCCGTGACCCTTAACCGATTGAAGAGGACAGAAAATGGATGGACAAATTCCATACACTATACTATTGTAATGGAAGCAGAAAGTGCAAGAACTTAATTCTACAGCGAATTAGCAAGACACCGTGAAAAACTTGTGAGCAACAGATGTCTCTCCGTAGTTTTTATCTGGGAGATCCTGTGATATACTATATGTTTATACGTGATATAAATATACTGGCAATAAGATACTGTCTGGTAAGGCAAGGCAGAGGTTTGATTACCTGAGCTATATCTTGGATCATCAGCTTCACAATACTTCTGCAATGTGTTTGGTTCAAAGGGAAGAAAGGTTAAGTTTTTAAGCTTGGACAAAATTTACTGACCATTCATGGTCAGCATGGTCCTTTTTACATAGTCACAAAATCTGAAATCAGAGTTCTTAATTGTAGAAGGAATTAAATGTGGTATGCAAAATAATTTGCAGTATACTATACAAATGTAAAACTTTCTAAAACTTATTAACAGTTTCTATAGATCATTACATGTTAAGAGTTTTATCTGTTGTACATCATTAAGGCATAGCGGATCTTATACCAACTCAGCATGTGAATTATAGGGAGCTGGATCTTGTCAATAATACTGGATATACTCCCTACCACAGAATGAGCAGTGAAGCAACACAGTGAGCTGGGAAATGATCCTCACTGACTGAATGAATGTTCTTGGCTGCAACACACCAAGATCAAAAGGTGAGGACAAGAATGGTACCTGTCAGTACAGTTATGACACAGTCATTATTAGCTGCCAGCTCCAGGGCTTGCTTAATTTCATTGTACATCTGCAATAAAGAAGGAAAGGGCCATTGGACACAAGTTCAAGGACCAATGAAACTGATCAAACAGGTATAAAGAGATGGTATGCTCATACAGGTTGACATGTCCTAAAGCAAACAGTCACTGAAAGAGATGCCAATCTAGCGAAACAAAACAATACACGGGGGAAGAAAGTTTAACTCTTAGCAGTGCAGTAAAGTTGTGAATATATCACAGAAAGTGCAAAATTTAATATAAACCTAACCTTGTTCATAGTTGCGACAACCTTCATTGTGACTGATTTTTTTTACTCCTGTTGTAAAGTAATGTGAAAAAATAAACAGAAAAGTGACCGTCACTTTCATACAGAGTGATTGGTATGCCTCCTCTATCCGATTAGGGATTATCCTTGTTAAATACAGAAAGGAGGACCCAAAGGAACACAGCCCAGGAGTTGGTTATTGTAGGTATAGAGAAAATTAAATGCTATGCAGCTAGTAGTATTAAAAGTTTCCATTACTGCTACTGTACTTGCAAGGGTGACTGAAAGAGATTATAGACATTTTACAAATAATGGCAAGGTTGTTCAATTTCATAAATGAGCCTTTACTGCTCTCCAGCAAGTGTAAATTATGCATTATTAGCTGCAACTCTTCACAGCTCGGGAAACTTGAAGACAGAGGTGCACAAATTATTTATATTTATGACTGCTTGAAAATGACGACTTTGCAAAGAAGTGACATCTTCCATCTAAAAAATCATGAATATTACAGCATTAATAATAAGGTATTTGTCTTCAGCCATATCAAAAGGGCTGCAAGGTATCATTTACATCACCCACACACAAGTTACAAGTATTTTTATTCTGACATTTTGATTTGGGATTCATTTAATTTTACATCTGATTTAAATGTACCTTGTTATAAACAGACTAATTCAATTACAAACAGAATAATAGCTATACAAGCCACCCCAATAATAGAAATATATGATAAAAAATTACCTTCTGTAGGTCCAACGTACCCAAAAATGTTTTAGAACATATGCTTTATAAAGTTTAATAAAATATCTCTGTGTTTTGAAAACCACACATATTCAATACATGAACGCTCTTTGATTTAATATGAATATCAGGCTTGGATGAAAATATACTACGCATGAGATCCAAGATCATATGTCACCTGTATTTGCTATGATAAGCCTGCAAGTCTGATTTCAGTAATGGGGAACATGGACAAAACTTTGAAGGCTGGACTTGTAGCTTTTACAACTTCTCAATGTCTCTCTGCTTATCAAATGAAAAGTATATTACTATCATATTTATAATATGGACAGTATAATAAAGTTTAAATGCCTGAAAAATGTCCTCTTCAGTCATATTTCTTACCTAAATGCTTGCAGCAGCTCTAAGTGTGTATAAGGTGCTGTACGTCAGTGTGTAAGGTGTATGTTTCTCATGTGCCCCACGTCTCCCTGTTCTCCAAAGTAGAAAAGTTTGTTAAGTTGCTATTTATTGGGCGGGGGGGGGCAGCTTGCTTCTACATTACCACTATACATGAGGGGAGATTTACCTGTGTAGGACTGTCAAACGGTACGAGTCGCAATGTTCTCAGCTTAAGACCCTCTGTGGCCCCCATAACCTTGGTATTAACTTAACATTAACCACATCTGGTTTTCCTGTTCAACTCTGCCTTACCAAGACAGTAATGGCGTTCTTCTTCTCTGGTCTGTTCATGACAATGGTGGTGATGTTGTCCTCCGTGGTCACAAGCAGTGTCTCAAACGTAGCCTGGCCCCCCGTGGATGACGTTTTTGGCTGCGCCGGTGTTTCTGCAGCCACCAGGGACTCTACAAGGTCTACGTACTTCTGCCTGGCCTCCTCCTAGTACCAGCAAGGGTTAAACAGCTAGTTCATTTTCACGGTCTTTACTGAACAGTAAAAATAATACCAGTCCAGCTTCGCTTGGTAATCAAAGAACTGAAAATATTGTGTAATACAGTTCCCAGTTAAATCGGAAACCACAAGAAGAAACACTGCCAGCAACGCATTGTAATATGTCAGGATTCTGGCTCCGCTGTTCCACCCAGGATCAATGCAACAGTTAGATCCTGCAAAAGTGTTTAAATCAGGAAACTTAGACGCTGCATTTAAAGTGAGTCATGAAGTATCAAAATATTAATAACAACTTGAATTTGCATAGTGCCTTTCATTTTAGAGGACCCCACTGCACATATAGGTGGGGATTCAGTTTATCCACAACAGAAGGGCAACACACATCCACATTGAGAAATAATTTCATTAAATAAATTAAGGGGGAAAAATAGGGAGGGCAGCAAATTTTTTAGTAGGAGGATAAACTTACTTGACTCAGGTGCAGCACAGTATATAGCAAGTCTATAGAATGATGGTTTCCCTCGGTTTATCTGTCTGACTGCATATGCTAAAGTAATTCCCTTCTCCTCTGTAAGGGACCAGAAATAATGTCTGGAATAAGACTGGAGTGATTGTATATATATAGCCTCTGGATACGTGGTAGTGCCATGGCTGTTCTGAATCCTGATTTACACTGCATGATTTTGAACATTCTTATATTATGTACTCAAACCACAGCTTATGATTTGCAACTCACAGAAATTTCTTTAATTGTTTTAAAAAGTAAGGCCCTCATGTGGCACGTTTACAGCAAACGAATGTTACGTTATTGAAAAACTTGATTTAACCAAGTCTGTGTGTTTTGATGAAGACTTTTTATATGCCTACAGGATCTACAAAACTGTTTGGAGTACAGAGACCCTGCATCCCGCATGTGAAGAAATGCAAGACAAAGCAGGAGGAAAAGTAGTCTTCATTTCTCTAGATGTCCCCTCACCCACATCTTCTGCAGAATCTAGTGCTTCCTTTTTGCCCCCTTCTTATATTTCTCTCATTCTTGCAATATGAAAAAGAAATCTGATTATTTATAAAGCCTAAAGAACAGTAAATGATAATAGTTTGGTACTCACCGGTGATAGACTGTCAAGAGACTTCCAGGCATCCCACTTGGCCTTGTTGACGAAGTCCAGCATGCTTGGCTTTGGAATATTGCAGGGACCCTGCATGGCCTAGACATATAGAACAAGCAACACAATCATTTAGCCATTCGGCTCTCAAAGAGATAGCATGTCTTTTTCCATTTAAAACAACTGAGAAGAGCAAGCAGTGCTACAACAGAAGATTAAGGCATCAAAACAAGACCTGACTCAGGTGACCCAACCCAACAAGGCCTTAGGCGTGTAGAAACCCACAAGAGTTCTCGCTGCACAGCAGGATAATGAACTCCTGACCATCTACAAGGCCCACTCAGATGGCGATCAGTGTGACAGGACTAATGACATGGCTCAAATACAAACCTGACTTCTAGATTATGGGACCCAAATGCATGGTAAGCATAGATCTTTACTAGTTCAGCTACTCAGAATATCCACTTTAGAGAGTGAAACCTCGGTAGTAGAGTCGCACTACTTGTGCAGTTCTTTTTGTGCTGTACTGAAACAGAAAGCCGTGGTGATGCCAATCCAAGCATCTACAATTCTGTAATGGATCTAGATGACCCCATTCTTGTGTTATATATGGAAATGGAATAATATCAAAATTATCCACAAAGACATTAGTTCTATCGAAAGTAAAGTCAGTAAATATACGTCTACAGTATGTGCAATACAAAGGAAAACCACAAGTATTGGAAATTCATGTGTTGCACTAGTGTAGATTTAGACTTTGAACGAAGAATGATATTCTTGCAAAGCAACAAAAAAAGAGAAAAACATATTAGCCTTTAATCCAGAAATAAGTACATGTGTTACTTATTTTCCATAATATATGCACCAATTATGATAAATATGAAAATGTATTAAGCAGAGTAGTAGTAGAGCAATTTATTGCCATATGTACACACACATTGGAATTCTTAACCGTGCTGATCTCTTGGGACACACGGTACAACAGACAACACCACACGATGCAGACAGTACCTAATTAATAACAACAGGAACAATAAGTATGTTGTGGGACAATAAATATGTAGTAGTGAGAAAAAAAATGGTAGACCATGCAAAAAGTGTGTAGTGCAGATGTGTAATGAGTTTGAATGGAAGCATGGTACTGTAACGCATACGGCCACCAGTGAGTGTGTAAGAGCCGGCTTACCAGAGCGGTGACATCACCGCCCTTCCCTGTGATAGCAGGGCCCACAGCCGCTGGGCTGGGGAGAGATCTCTCTTTAGCTCAACGGGCTGGGTCCCTGTTGAGTGACGCCGGAGGCCCGGGTTCGAGTCCCCGACGGTGGGGGGCCAACCTGATGCGGCAACAGCGAGGGAGCCCACGTGAACCCCGAATCGTTACAGAACATTGTCCAAGTTGTGTTTTTGTTGGCTCAAGTGCCAAACAGAGGACAGGCGAGCCCCACTGGTACTGTAGCTTCACTCTGCTCAGACACCTGGACTCGAGTATGGAAAACAATACTCACAAGCCTGATCCAGCTCTGCCCTATGTGAGTGGTTTTCAGTCAGTCTTGGTCTGCTGCTAGTGTGCTCCCTCCTGCTACAAATGACAAGCCCTTTAAAAACACCACTATGAGGTGCGAGTATCACCTGTTTAAAAAGTGCATATATTTTCAATTTGACTTCATTGCCAGGGTCCTTTTTCAGTTTGCTGAGCTTGTCCTTGGCGTGATTAAAGTCCTCGACAGTTGCCCCCATTAAGGCCCCAGTTGTATGAAGCTGAAGTGCTGGTAAGCGAAAGGACTGAAACAGTCTGAGGAAGAAAAGAAAGACAGTATTTAGAAAGTATTTAAAACATTTTGAATATTCTAATAAATATTTATAGAGATGCAGTACACTGCACTGTGTTGGCAAACCAATCATGGCTGTTAAAAAATAAAAAATATATTTGAAATGCATGTGGAATAATAGGGAGTTTCAACAGTGTAGACCCTACAGGCTGTTACAAACATAAACCTCACCTTTATTTCACCAGTCCTCTCAGGCCTACATATGTTGTAGGAAGAATCATTTTAGTTGTTTCTTAGACGATCTAAAAGAATCAGCTTTAACAGGGGTGGCCGGATGGTAGTTCAACAGATACACAACCTTGTTCCTCTTAGGTGTGCCTAAATTTCTCACTCTTAATTTCCACATTTAGTCCCCAGTCTCCATAGCATTATGGTTGAATCGGTAACTTCAGCTGACATTTCAAAGCCTGACAAATCTACTAATTCGAGTAAATCACCGTTTCCAGACAAGGAAATATATGTACACGTCTTTGAACTCCTCCAGATTTTTCCTTTTTGAAAAGCGAAAACAATCATAGAAGAGATTGTTTACTTTTCAAAAGCTATGTCTTCGAGACTGATACTATGTTTGACATAAGAAAGCCATCGCGGTCTCTGAAAACGTTACTAGTTAATGAGTCAAACAAACAGAAAACTAACGATTTGCTTGCTTTAGAAATGTTGTAATAAAAACATAACCAAGCAAACTTGGATCTCGTACAATCAACCCGTGCAGCATGTCAACCTTCATTGCAGCTGCTAACATTACAGCAAAACCAGCAAATAAACCTCCAAAACCTACACAAACCGCGGCTGGACAAATATTCCACAATTATAATTCACTCTTTAAACTCACCTCGCAGATTTCATGAAACGCCAGCTATAAAGCAGAGACACGGCTGCAGCCATACTATTGTCGAGGTCAGTGGGATAAAGTTCACCGGCAATCTAACAACCCAGAGTCTTACCCCCTTTCTGTTCAACCCCTCCCTTCATTTCGTACAAGTCAAAGCTCAATTTAGTGGCTCCCTCTGCTGGTCGGAGCACGTAGTCCTTTTTACAGTGCAAATACAGTCTACACCTTGTGACTAAGCGTGGTTAGCATCTGCACATTATAAGCATTCACAACTTCATGTTGAAGTTAGGAGCTCATGGTTAGTATTCTAGTATTCAGGATTAGTATTCTACATGCAGATGTTGGAGTCCCTGAACACCAATCAACACCTGTTCTTCAATATTACAAATGTTTGAGTGTCTCTTGTAAGTGTTATGTCTCTGCATTAATTTTTTCATTGTCTTTCACCTTAGCTGGCACAATATGACAATGTTTTATTCAAAGCGAACATTACACTATTATGAAGAAAAATGGCCCTTCATGTTTCCAATCCTTCTTGTTTGCAATCTTCTTGTTACACCTGTGTGGTTCTGTCTATTTACACCAATTTTAATGCAAAACATCAGCCATGCCTCAACACAAATAAAAACAAGAAAAGTCTCTATGAGGTACAAAGAATCAGATGTGTTCTTTTTGTCTGACAGCAAACCAAGAGCTAGAAGTTTATTTATTACTTTAATATAAATAAACTATAATATAAAAGAAAAACAAAAATACATTTGAGACATTGGATCATTTGTTTTTAAATCACTTTAAGGTTCTACAATAAAAGGCCCATTAAACCAGACACAGACATGCAATGGCTAAGGCAAGTAGGCCTGTTGTTAATTACAAATCTTGTTTTCCTCATAGGTTTCCACATCCCTAAGAACATACAAATGTTTCTATTTGGTTATTTTCCCCATTTGGTTACTAGTAGCTTTTCAATTCAAGAATCTAGATAGCAGCAGTTGTAATAAAATTGCATGTTTGGTGATCACTTATTCAAATCAGAAGGAGCAGCAGGTTAAAAATAAATTCCTGTTGGTCTCCACATAATATTCTCCAGTAGCCTTACATGAAATTAATGTGTGAAGGAGGTTTAAGATGGAGACCCATTTAAAACTAAACAGCAAACTAAACTGAGACAATAAAGAAAACTGCTGCTCATTAAAGATCGCAAGGCACTATTCCAAAAGAGTAGGGATTTTAACCCTGGTGACCTTGTTAAATACCACTCTTGACTTGTAAAATCTGGCCTACCTAATGTTTCCCCTTAACTCTATTGATGAAGCCATTTGTCACTTCTCTACCTTGACTGCTCTGTAGTGAGACTGGTGGCTGCCACATGTTACCCAGGTGTCCTCATCTGCATGTAAAGTGATTTGGGACCTTTGAGTTGAACAATGCTATACAAAATGAAAACTATTGTAAAGATATTTCACTTTAATGTTATCTTTCTTCTCAACCATTGATTGCAATTGACAGATTGGTACTTACTGTCACTGTAATTCCTATTTTAATGCTTTTCTACAAATCATTTATTGAAAGTGTTTTAACATACTGTCTTACCTTTTTGTGTGGCAACATCAGTACTGCAAATTGAAATAGGTGGTTAAAAACAGGTTTGGAAAAATATTCGTGAAGATTAGTACTAAATTCATTAGGGCAAATCAAATCAATGTAAATGCCCATTTTGGAGCGTGTGCCACATCCCCTCCACTGTGAATTTACACTACTCCCATCTGGGAGACACCTTGGTGCCCATAGGAGTAACAACAAAAAGCACTAGAAATAGTTCATCCCTTAAGCAATCATGTTCTCAAACAATGTAAAGTAACTCTCTTATCTTCTGAAACACTGTTGTCCTGAACTCTTTGTTGGTGATGTCTTGTTTTTGTTGTATTGTTCTGTTGGACTCTGCCAAAGTACAAACTTCCCTCAGGGGACAATAAAGCTTGAAATGAATCAAATTACGTTTTCAATACCATCCTGTCTTCTGTACCAGATGGACAGGTATGCTAATTTTGCAAAGTAGGGTGGATTTTGGCACTGCTCCAACCTGTTTTGTTGTTGCCAAGAAAGTTGCATAACCTCTTTGCTGACAGTGGGGGAAAAAAACAGCAGCACAAGATTTACTCACAAATAAGTAGAATTAAGGAAGCTAACAATACATAAGCCTCTTACATGGAAGTAACTCACACACTAGATTCCTACAAAACTACATCTGAAGTATACATTAAGTCACCGAGCATAAGTCCTGTGTAAACTCAGGAATTCTTAAAAAATGCTATTGTGTTTCGCTTTTCTCTGAGTTATTTCTTGTGGCATATAATCCTCATAAATGTAAAGGTCAAATAATATGTAACTGACAGTTATATATGCACATTTAGACTGTTTGCAGCATGATTAAATTGCTGCTGCTGTTTTCATCTAATTTCTATCATCCATGCATTTCTAATAAACTGCATAATGGGTGGAGCAGTGGCTCTGTACATAAGTATCTGTGCCTGTGGCTGGAAGGCTGCAGGTTCAAATCCCGTGGCTGGCAGAGGAATCCTACTCTGTTGGGCTCCTGAGCAAGGCCCTTAACCCCAACTGCTCCAGGGGTGCTGTACAATGGCTGCCCTTGTGCTCTGACTCCAAGCTTCTCTCCCTGTCTGTGTGTCTCATGGAGAGCAAGCTGGGGTATAAGAAAAAAAAGATGAATTCCTAATGCAAGAAATTGTATATGGCTGACAAAGTGATCTCTTATCCAATACTGGGTTGCACTGTCTCAGAGCCCAGTCTGGCAGACAATGATTACAAGGCAGGATACACCCTGGAAGGAATGTCAGTCCATCACAGGATGTTTTAATTAGTTACATCAAGATAACCAGCATGCACTAGGCCATTACATCGTTGAATCTCAAGTATCACTGCTTCATTTCCATGGATACCAGGACTTCACATATTTCCTCTAACACCACAGATAAATTAATGCTGGGGACAACAAAACAAAGCAGCACGTGCTCTTGTTAACTTTATTGTCGTAACTGTGACCTTGAGATTATTCTAGTGCTTCCAACAGAAATCAAAAAGCTAGAAAAGTGCTTCAGAAACGTATATCTATGGTGGAAGGCAGTGTCCATTTCAAAATGAAATGCTCAGATGTTCTGCGGCACCTGTTTCAGACAGCAAAATACTTTAAAGACTTAAAGACTGTGGAGACTTGACTGTCATACACAGGCTCAAATTTATATTTTATTGTTTCTTAGCCTAATGTTGTTCAATACAATGCACACTGTTTTATGCAATATACATTATAATGTACAATATAATGCAAAGCAGCTGTTTCTTAATCCAGTATTTTACAATATAATGGAGAGCAGCATATGCATTTCTTGGTTATAAATTTATCCAATACTGAAAAATTACTAAATCTATTTTGCCACAAGGTTCAAGTAGTCATCACTAAGCTCATGTGCTACAGGGGTTTTCAAAGACCTGTTCACTTTCAAACATTCGTTCTGGTAGCCATTTTAAGAGTAATTTAAGAAGACATTACAGGAGGTAGAGACTTTACAACACATACACTTATAAAAATGTATAAAGCAATTTGATTAGATCATCTCGCCCACTTCAGAAGGATCAAAACACTCGAAATGACTGGGACACTTGACAAGTTCAGTTTTTCCATTTAGAAGCCATTCAGTATCAGTTACTCAAAATCTCTTAAAGTTTTATTTTACTATAACACTACTAACAGCTCATCTGTACAGAAATATAGCGTTATAGCGCTAAATAGAATTCGTATGCCATTAAAATCAGTATGTATTTCAAGTTTTTTTCCCTCAATCTCAGAAAAGGGGATGTACTGTACCTTAGTATTGACTTATCGGGTTGCATATTCATTTGGCAGAACAGGCAACAGCACTCAGTTTTAAAATCGAATGTGCGTAAAATCGGAGATAGACTGGAGGACACAAACAGGTATGTAGATAACTGGTAGGCAATCGCTTATGTGCCTTGGATTCCCAGTTCCAAAAAAAGAAAAATAATACAAGAAAACGTCCCCCTTCCCCTCCTTTCCTCGTCATAGCCTTCTGCAGGTAAGAACCAATCAGATGACCGTAATGGCATCAAAACACAAAAGCATCCCCCCCAATACCCCCGAAAATATATTGTGCGACTGTGGCATCTGTTTATCAAGTAACCAAGTGACACTGTCTGTGAGTGGAGAAGATCTGACCTCTTGCTGAGCGGAGAAAGGTTACTGTAGTGACCGCACTGACCACTTGCTCGGACCGGCGAGCCATGGAGTACGCTAAGGAATACGCCAGCGCTTTGTCGCCGCGGACTCTCATAAGGCGAGTATTTTTTTGTTCAGAATGGTGCCATTTTATGCAGCACAAATTTGTTGCGTCAATACCTCTGTTGTTAAAAGAAATGCATTTAATGCACCTACGTAACATTTCACACATTATTAAATAATAATACCCGAAACATGTCGGCGAAAGAAAAAAAACATCAATACCATAGTTTTGAAATGATTTCAATGTTTCGGCGAATCAGGCAACATTCTAACATTTTTAATCTAAAAAAATAAGACTGGAGGATTTCATATTTACACGAAAATCTTCCGTATCTTTTACTTAAGACCCTATATTTAACGCTGCTGATTAAAAAAAATGTCGAGAACACACCGCATTCCATTTAATTTAATTGATCAAGGCTCCTTCTCTGTAGCCGGCTTTATCAAGACAATACAATTAACTAAATTATCTTTAGGACCTCTGGCTGATTTGTATAAATATAACGCACTTGGATACTTAATATTTGTTTACAGTGTTTAATAGTTGTGCAGCCGGATCTAATTGTTTACTTTGAATGTTTCTTCATGCACTTGTACTGTTTTTACATTTGTTAGTCATAAATGAAACACATTATTCACAGTGTTTATCATGGAAAGTTACTCCCCATACCCATCTCGTCTGTTCACGCTGTGTTGTGAGACCCCGAAAAGTGTCCCCCAAGGAAGACGAGCCTTATATTCGTGTGCATAAAGGGCTAGGCTAAGTCATAAACAATGCTGGCGCTCTTGACAGATCAATAACTAGTAACACAGAACTCTAATCTGAGTATTATGTAAAGTGGATTCCCACACCAGACTCAGGGTTTATTTTGAGGTTTGGTCTTTGAAATTGCAATTATTGGTGACATTCTTTTCATTTACCATGTGAACGTTCCGTTTTTGATTAAATATGATAATGAATTTGATTAAAGTGATAATCACAGGTAAAAAAACATGCTATGGGACTTTTTTGTCCACATGCAAATAAAGCCACGACTTTTCATTAGTAATTTTTGCTCTGTTTGCATTTGTGCTACATGTACAGAAACTGGTAGTGACGTTGTACGGTTTCCATCTTGTGCACATGACACTCCTAGAGGTCTTTAATACAGGAATGCGATGGCTAACAGGAAGCTGCACGTACACGTATTCAATATAAAGCTCCAAATGATGAAAACTGGTAAGATGTTTGCATGCTCATACGAAGTTCACTAAAACCAGTTAAATTTAGGATGACCTTAGTTCATCCAAAAACTTCATCTTGGTTTCAAACCTATTAACTACAGCTAAACCTATTAGTTAGCTACAGCCCTACCCTTGTCTGTTGTAAAACCTTACTTTAGCTCCCATGTTAAGTCAGAGATGTAAAATTAGCATTAAATCCACCTCTAGGGCTGCAGAATGAGCAAGAACATAATTTAAAGAACAGACTAGATTTATCATGGAGAATAGAGGCTGTTCGCCTGTGTTTATTATCATACACTTCAACCTTGGTGATGTCTTTCTTGAGGGCTTGTTATATTTACTGTATTTGCTCATATGCATCAGAAGCATAGGTTTTGCGCCAACCCTAAACTAGTTCCATCCCTTTTCCCACCTATCTTTTAGCCATGCTGAGAGATCCTTTTACAAGCTGGGCTTTGTGATTGTGGTTGTCTTGTTATGCACCACGCCCAGGTAACCAAGCACATTTAAGTGCGATACAGAAATTGGCAGGGCGCTTCAAATTAAACATTACTATCCATTTTCACAACATTCTGTAATTTTTTGTAGAGTAGGGGTCCCAAGCCTGCTTTGCTAAGCCCACACATCTGCTGGCTTTTGGTCCAGCTCCAAGTCTGTTACACCATTAAAACCTTAGCTGAAATTAATCCCATGATTAAGTCAATTATGTGATTGTCTTTATCTCTTAAACATGTCGGAGGTTGTCTTTTAACTATTGTGTTTTAGAGGTAACTTACAATTCCAAGAGTATTTTTTTAGCAAATGCTCTAGTCATGCATCTTGTTAATTCAATTAAGGGTGAAATTAAAATGATTCAGTGAGTGTTTTGAATTTCATATTGCAAAGGAGTAGCATAGGTGCCTTGATTTTCCTTGCGTATTTATTGTAAAATATACTATTGTATACTGTATATAGAGTGGAAGCTTGTTTTAGTTTCTGCCACTATTTGTCCCACAGAGGTCCTTATCCATAAAACACATTACAGTTGAATTTTTATTTCCTCAGAAAATAACTCGGGAACAACAGGAAAACAAATAGAATTAGAACAATGAGAAAAATGGTTAAATTGTAAAAATTGTCTGCATAGGCAGTTTAAATGTTACTGGTTTTGCAACCTTCAAAGTTCATTTTTTATTTTCAGAAAAAAAAAAAGCTAGACAAACCTAGCAGGAGTTGTTGACTCGGACTGTACCATGCTTTCCTTTGTGGGGGGTGGCCAATATATCATTTTGTTGGTGTGGGGAGAGGGGAAGAGGGGTTTCTGGAGAGTCTAGCTCGTGTCCATTGCTATAGGAAGGGTGTATGTTTTCCAGCAATACGGTTTTGATGGGTGAAATGGAAATTCCACATTGCCGAGAAGGAGACCAGGATTAGCAGGACCACAGCATCAAACCAACTTAAAGATCCCTAAAAGAATTATTCTTGTACAAGTGCTGAAAGTCCAAGACTCAAGGAACTTCTGGGGCCTGTTTTTTTTTAATTCTGAAATTGCAGGACTGTGTCTTCGGTGGGCTCGTCGATCAGCAGGCGCGTTCTCTTCAGCCCGGAGGTACAGCCGCGGCCCTTTAGGGTCTGCACACATGACCGGGGCAGGCGTAAAGGAATGGTGGCCTCTTCGCTGGACAATCTCCTCGCTAAGGTAGTGTCCTAAGCAGGGAGGGTCAGCTCAGAAAACCCTGGAGTTGTGAGGTCACTTTTCCATCCCCACCCAGCCAAGTCTTTTTTTCCCCACGGTAAAGATTGTCAGTCTGTCAGTTAGTGGTGAGGACTGTGCAGTAGACTGTCAAATCCCCTTTCAGATTTCCATTGTTTATACAAACCATTAACTGCTGTCCTGTGAGAAGAGTTCCGTAATTAGAGACAGGAGAAAAATAAATGTGTGAAAGTTTACCGCACATTGGAAGATTCAGCATTTATTTTTTCTTTCCTAAAAATAAAAGCAAGAGAGAGTGCGGTACTGTGTGTAAAACTGAAATGTGTTATCAGAAATGTGCCCTCTGAACATGCAGAATAATGTGTTTTCAAAATGTCTCTTTGCCTCTGGATATGAGTGTATGTTTCAGTTTGTGTGTTTTACAGAAGGTTAAAGTACTGCAGCTACTGCTGAGTTCATTTGCTTTGCTTTGTTTCTTGTGTTGTATACAGTACTTATTGTGCAGTATCTGTACCTCCATCTTGATATTGCCCCAGGTCTTTTTTATGAACCCAAGGGCCACTTGAGATTGAATTGTGTGCTTAAAGGAAGAGCATCATTGCTCTCGGTTCATTTCTCATTTTCCTGTTTGAGATATTAATGTCTACAATCAGCAACCACTAGTAAAAGGTAATGTTATTTTTTTTGAGGGGGGGGAGTGGGGGTTGTCATTTGTTTTGATTTGTTCAGATGACATTAACTAACTTGTAGTTGATCTACTTTTACTCCAACCGTGCAATTGCCCTGGTATCTTTACAGTTTAAAAATCCACCCATACTACTTTCAGGGTGGTAGGGGAGCTGGAAACTTTTCCCAGCAAGCAGTGGGTGCAAGGCACACCCTACACCCTGGATGGGACTGCTGTTGACAAATCTTATTTTTCATTTTTATTTTAATATGAGAACCCCTTGTGCTGATGGGCTGTTCTATCATACAGTTTTCATAAGTATCTGTTGCTATGTAATTTCTGTAAAATATATAATGTTGTATTTTGTTGTGTGTTAACTGTTGTAGATCCACAATATTGTCTTATGCTAGATAGTTCCACCATCCTGTGTCAGGTTAAGAGCTTGTCAACCCACTTCTTTAAATGAAGGCTCACTTGTCCATCAATAGGACCAGGGATGGGGATTATAGTATATAACCTGGCCTTAGTGATGTGGTGCTTTGTTCTGTCCTGTTGTTTTTCCATTTGCACGTTTTGATTTGGTTTCCCTTAATAAACCTTCTCTGACGGTACAGTGTTATTTTGACTCGACTGACTGCTTATACCGAGTAGTAAGTCACAGCTCCTCTCTGTACAACGTAAAATATAATGTACACTTTTATTTTGAATGCAACGTAACACTTGTTTTAAAATATTACTCTAAACTTTGTGCCATGAGGCTCAAATCCATCTGACTGTACAATTTTGACTTATTTGAAGGAGTAAAACTGGATATTTAGAGCACATGTACTGTACACTAACTGTAGAATTGTTGTTCTCCACCACATATTTATTGTTCCTGTTGTTATTGTTTATGATGTTTGTAATGTACTGTCTACATTGTGTGGTGTTGTCTGGTGTACTGTGTCGTCTATTGTACTATGTCCTGAGAGATCAGCGCAAATAAGAATTCCAATGTACATGTACATGAACAGTAAATAAACTCCTCTATTCTACTTCTCTCTACTTGTGCAACACCTCACAGTGGTGAAGCGCTGATCAGTGTTTCATTCCTCTTGCTCCAGGCTGTGCAGGCTTTTCTGCTGACCTCAGAAGTGATCACGCTGGTCCTGGAGGAGGACGGGACTGTGGTTGAGAATGAGGAGTTCTTTCAGTCTTTGGAAACAAACACACAGTTCATGTTGCTGGAAGGAGGGCAGAGGTGGACTCCAGCCAAGGTAATTATAGATTGTTTGGCTGCCCCTTAAAATCATTTAATGCTATAGGAAACAGCCAGAAACGTCTGACATCTATTCTTCATCTAACGTCTAAAGACTAAGATCTGGGTTGAGGTAGTGGTTAGAGGTTGGGTGTATGTTGATATTCCCCTGAATATTCAAGTTGTTCTGACTTTTCTTGGTCTTACTTGCCCATAATTTTCTTAGGTGCTATATACAGTATATAAATTAGAGATGATGTTGATGATTTATTATCTACTATTGATTAGTTCCCTGCCCTCTCATTGACTGTAGTTCCCATTAAAGCCACCAGGAGGCGAAGTAGGACTGTATGCAGTCTGGTTTGTGGCTCCTACAGAAATTGCAAAACATGTCTTATCCTCTGTATTTTGTTCTAATTCATTGAAATCTTTTCTGTCAAGTTAAGGAAAATTAATTTAACGTAAAAAGCATCACTTTCCCGGTGCTATAGCACTTGTGGTTAAAAGTGTATGAGTGAAGGAAAAAAATAATATCTAAGCTGTACAAATACACCCCACATACTTCATTTCTAACGTGTTTATGTTAAAAAATGTGCACTATTATCAACATGAACACTTACATTATAGATCATGTGTAAACAACAATAATGTAATTTTTGTTCCTTATAACAGTTTCTATTCAATTAACTGTATTTTAATATACCATTATATATTGTTCAGTGTATATACAGTTATGTTGTACTGATGAGCATATTTTTCTGAAACTGAACTCCTACGAATGTATTACAGTCTTAAGTAGTGGATTGTTTTGTACTTTTAATTGCACTCTTACGTTTCAGGTGATACACTTTATTTTCATACTTCTTGAAAATGAAAATAGTTAATTGAAATGAACATACATGCTTGAACAAACTTGTGCTGTTGCTGTTTCTGAGACATGTGACGCATGTGGTGAGATCTAAGATGTAGGTGGTATATACAAGAGGAAAAGAAGCAGGTTCCCAAGCCCAGAGCCAGAGGGCTACAGTTCTGCAGGGTTTTCCTCCAGTTTAACAGCTTTTCCCAGATCTTCAGATGCACCCAACTTATAAATCCTTCAGGAATGTGGCCTTTCAGGGCTGGAGTTGGGAGCTCCTGTCTCCCATGATCTAACCCAGATGCTGTTCCTCTTGCCACTGCTCTCTGAAGCCATTTTCCATCTACATGGGGCACCTTGCTTAAATCCAGATGTGCTATATCATAAACCCCACACGTGTCAAAGGTTTGCGTAACTTGTTCTACAAAAATGACTTTCAGAGATTTGTGAAGCCAGTTCTTCCTCAACAGAAGCTGCACCCACTGTTTCCGGTCATAACATTACTGGACAGATAAGATACAGAATCGTCTTCAGGATTTCTGTTGTTTTACATGAGATATAGACATTCGCCTAACCTGTTGTCCTGCAACATCCTGATTCAGTGTCATCAACTACTATAGAGACACAGAGTTACTCATGCCTCAGTACAAAGTAATTAAGCCTCAATCATTTTCTTAATTAGAAATAGATAATACAGTATTTAAGATCATGCTTATTAGTCATAAATATAATCCAAACAACAAAGTTAACTGAAAATAAAGGAATAAGTCAATATTCATATCTTGCAATCTTTAACATGTTTCCATCTGTTTTGATACCATACGGAGATAAAAATAAATTTAGGAATACTGTTATATTCTTTTAATTTCACACACGTCTGTATGATTGTTTGATATGGTGACAAATGTGAAATGTCCAGAATCTACTGTTACCTACTGTTGACTTACATTCAAGAGCTACAGAATAAGATATTTTAGAAGTTGTCCAACGTTCTTCTGTGCATTGTATTTGATTTGTGATTATTTTAAATCCACCACTATTCATTTCTGTTTTTGTTTCTTTAGAGAGGATGTTGAATTATAAATGTCATCTCAGAAAGTCACAGTATTTCCATAGTAAATATGTTTGATGTTTTTTTTTTTGTAGGGAGCCCCAGGTCTCAAGCGATCTAAGAAAAATGGAATTGCCAAATTCAGTTTTGACCTTTACAAATTAAATCCCAAGGATTTCATTGGATGCCTCACCATTAAGGCCATTTTTTATGACACATACACAATGTCATATGACATTAAATGTACAGGAGCGAAACAGGTGCTGAAGTAAGTATTTGGTGATAGAAGGTTTAGAAACACAACTTGGAAAGGATTAAATGAAATCTTTTCTCTAGTCTGATATTTTATTAACCGTTGTACAAGAACTGCAAACACGTTATGTTATTGGGCTATTTTATTACTAACTTATACACAAAATACTGCGTATAAGTTTGTATAAGGTTGCGTATAAGGTTGTATTGATAGCTGCATATACTCTAGTTACATAGTCTGAGGTTTCCATTTTTTATTTTATCCAACCAGTTTGATTCCTGTTTTCAGTTTCTACCTGTTGTTTAACCAACCTATCAAACTGTTAACTTTAGAGAACTGGTGATGAGCACTTCAATTTGAAGATGGTCTTGATATTGTAAGGTCAGTTTTTTCTAGAATAAGAGGAGTAGGTTGAGTTGAGTGTTTATGTTTATTAATTTATCTAACTGAGGTTTCTATCCAGAGTGACTTAAATCTGTGAATAGTTATACAGCTGGGCATTTTTACTGAAGTAATTTGATTGAAACACCTTGCACAAAAGTAACAATTAGCCATCAACTTACAGTCATGCCTTTGGAGAGTTTTGCTTGGTGCTGTAGAATGGAATGATAAAGGGCTGTTTCAAATTCATATTTTTACTTTGCATCACCAGCATGGGACAAACATCTACAAAACTCTGTCTTTTACATTTTGATTGTCTTGTGCTGGTTTTCTTCTCACTTGCTGTATCCCCTCTGTGCTTAGAAGCTGGACCTTTTAAATCCCTGCTGGAAAATCTTTATAGTTCTAGACTATTTTATGGTTTTGTAACCAGTCTGGATTATTTCATTCTAAACAATGTTAGCAAAGTTTTTTTTGTCTTTGTAACCGGTGTTGAGCTGCAATTCCGCTATATATTTTCTTTTTATATTCACTGTAGTATTGTTTGTTAGAGTACAATCTAACATAAAATGTTAGATTTCTATAATATTCCATTAAAGGGAGCTTCAGCTCTCCTCAACATGCCTGCTTTTTAAAGACTTTTTGGAATAACTAACTTGTGAATGTGTGGAGAGGTTTGAACGGAAAGAACATGGACCAGAAAGATCAAATCACTTCTCTACTTTCCACGTTTTTTTTTCCAGGATAGCCCTCCGTTACCTCTCCTATCTGGCCCGAGTTGCTGGCCAGTTACTTCTCTATAGTGCCTCATATGTGTATCAGCGTATCGGAGAAGAGGAACAGACAGGGACATCGGGGACATGGTGATGCAACAAGAAGATTCCTGATACTTGAGTGCCTGACCTGCCTGTAGACATACTGGCTGTGTTGAATGTACTGTGTATTTTAATAATTTTGAGGACCACACAAATGTACAATGTGTGATACTACATTGTGGGTAGTTCCTCCAGTAACTCTCAGATCTCAGCCTGTTCAGTTATGATTGATGAATGTATTAACTCTGCTGCCTCTGCTCAGAGAAAAATACTGTATATAATTGGCAAAAAAATATAAAAAATGTTGCAAACTTAATGGAATCAGGAGATTCTCAATTATCACCTATATTTTTCTTTTTAACAAAGTGTATGTTTTATTTAGATATACTCTATAATTTCCATGCAGGCCACTCTGACAGACAGTGGGTTATAACATTTACAAAATGGGTATTATGAAGTTTGATGCAGCATACTGTAAGGAGCCAAATAGGCTATGGACAGGTAAAAAAGTGACATAAATGTACCTTCTGATAAAGAAAGCAGTAGGAAATGCAAGTTCAGTTTGATCAAATCATTCAGTCAAAATATTCATACTTTATTTATTGAATAGTGTATTGTGTTAATGTAAAGTATACCTTTACAGGACCAATTATAAAGTTATTACTAGCACTAATATACAGTAAACAAAAAGTCCACAACCATTGCCTGTTATCAAATGTTTTCACATTATGTCAAAATAATAAATATTTTTAAAGGACTGTTTGCATTTGTATAAACTTGATCATTACTACATAACTAGTTTTCCAGCATTAAGCTTTGACTTCCTCTGTGCGTTCCTCTTACCAGCTGCAGAACACACTATGGGAGCTGGACCTTAAGGATATCCTGAGGTTCCTGCAGAGTGTTTGCAGCTTGCACTAGGAAGGGAACAATTACTGGCTTTATATCCGTTTTATTTAGAAAGATTCTCCCATTTTGTATAAACAAAACATATAAGAAACAGAATGATACCAATGCAAACTAGTGATACCAAAAAGGGTGTTTGTCTAGACCGATCTAATAAAAGAGCTAGTACAACAGTTACAAATCAGATTTTGTTCTGTATACTGTACCTAGGAGTGTTGCTCTCTATTGGCGGCAGTGAGACTCCAACTTGTTGCCCCACCCCGCAATGCATTAGTACAATGCGGTACCTTACAAATTAGATGACATCATATCGGGAGACTCCACTGGAAAATGTTCTGTAGGCATATTTTTCTCAAGTTGACCAAGTTGTCCTGTCTGCCATAATTTTGTGTCAAATGATTCAAGTGTGACACTCAGCCTCTTTCTTTTTTTCCAATAACATTTCTCACCTAAACAGTTTTATCGGTGACATTAATTATCTGTAATTATTTTGCTGTTAAAAACAATAAAAATAATAAATGTGAAGTAAAAGTCAGAAAAATTGAAAAGGAAGGACCGCTTCCTGAAAAGCATAATATAACTGCTGAGAGAGATTTTAAAAATCTTACTGAGGCATAAGAAACTTAATGTACACTGTGTGAAAAATGAATGCTCTAATCTCTGCTAAGCACTTTTAACACTCAATAGCTAAATTAAGCACAGTTTTCTGACAAGCACTACCATAGTATGGAATTTAATTTTTTCTTGTTCTTTAAATGTAAATAAATAAAATAGATAAATATCAATGCATAATCCTGTTAAAATTAACAAAATTGTCAAACATGGTTCCATCAATGACAAACTGTTGCATATTACATAGAAAGTGCATATCAGCAGATAACATTTACATAACCCCAAATTTGTCTTGTTAATATATCACATTGCACACCATTTATGAAATATAGTGGAAAGAAATTTAAACATGCGTATCCTTATTCTTTTTTAAACATTTTGATATTATTGGATTGCTTTTATAGTCAAATAGTTTTATTAAAGTTACTTCTTTTAATTTTTCTTCAGCAAATATGCTTTCTTCTACAGATTGTACGTTTGTCTTTAATTTATCCTCTGTGCAAGAATAAGTACTTAAAAATGACTGCATATAATCCATAGATATGATGGAAAAGGAATTAATATATTTCATAACTAAAACAATCAAGTTGAAGTTCAGGAAAATATGGGTTTATTTAATGGAGGTTCAAGGGTAAATCATAAGGAAGAAAGTGTAAAGTTTAAAATAGAAACAATAATAGCTACACAACTGAAAAATACATTAACCAAGAGGGAGGCAGAAAAGAAGCAAACATTTATCCAATGCTATAAACAGTAGAAGAACCGTTGTTGGATGTAAACAGCCTGCAAGATAATATAGTATTAATACCATAAAAAAGAAAAAGTTCATGAACATTTTATACAGATTTTTAGAAAAAAAGATGAATCAGCTTGGAGTAATTTTAGCTTAACTGACACTAAAGTATTGCAGGAACTAGGGCAGCTTAAAGCTAATACATCACCAGGGCCTGACAGTGTTTTCACAGTTGTGGTTATGGAAATAAGGGGTGTTATTCATAGACCTTTAACTAGGTATTTCAACTGTCGCTTAGGTTGGGAGCTGTACCCACAAACTGGAGCAAATGCAACACCAAGAGTCACAGATATCTGTTTCATACCCACTGGTCTTCTTAATCAGAAGCTGGTATTTGTAGTGAACTCATTACATTCTTAAGATTTACAAGAATAGGAGAAATGGCAATGACAGAAACAGTGAAAAGATTAAATTTAACATTGACAAGTGGGCAATATTATCCATTAGGAATTAGTAACATACACCACATATCAGATTGGTGATTTTGGGCTTCAGAAGCTTCACAGCAAAGGAATCTGTGTTTTTATATAGATGCTTGTTGTTCTCATCAAGATGGTGCAGGGAGTTAAAAAGCGAACATCGCTTGGGCTTATAACAAAAATGTGGAATTTAAATCAGTTAATTTAGCATAAAGGTTATGCTCAAGCTAGACACCGCATTAGTAAGACCTTAGAACCCGAAATAGTTTGTTCATTTTTGATCACCGTACCACAAGACGATAGTATATCCTCAGCAAGAGTTCATAGAAAAGCAACAAGAATGATACTTGGTGTTTGGCATTCTTATGTGCAGGCAGGATATAGGACATAAATCTACAGTCTAAAATAAAGGAGACAGGAGATTTGAGCCAAGTATATGAAGTTACAGACATGGTCAGATCAGGGATTACTTCAGACTCAATAGTGAAACAAGGACACAGGCTCTAAATTGTGAACCAAAAGGGAAATTATTTAAGATGAGAATTGTGGATGCCTGCAATAGGCTTCACAGTTAGTGAAGTTAAGATTTTGCCTTCTGGTGTCCAAATTGTGAGAAACTTCAAGCCTACTCGACAACATTTTAGGATATCTTAGGTGTTTAACAACAACATGATCTAAACGACTTCATCTCGTTCGCAATCTTTCTTCAATTCTTATGCTCTCATAGACATTTCCAAGAGCTCCAATATTTTCTTGGATGTAACTTTCATTGCACAAAATATTGTCTGTATAGAGCAAAAAAAAAACAAGTTCATTTCAGCTTGAAACTAATTTGACAAAGATCTTGGGTTGAGCCTTTTTCTGCTCCATGGATGCTTTAGAAGCCTATCCTGTGGAATTCTTCAGCTCATGAGTTCAATGACTTACATGGCATTGTAACTATGCATGCTGCAACCAGAGTCTCAGCAAGAAATGTCAGTGCAGGAGCTGGGGTACAGTACACAAGGCATTTCAAGCAGACACATAGTTAGAGACCCCCCTCCTACCTATTCAAGTTCCAATGGAAATTCTCTTGCAGAATAATATATGAGTCCTAAAATGGCCCTGTGGAGTTATTTGTAATCTATCAACACTGAATATAAATACCTTAGCTATCAGTGTCCATTTGTGTTTATCTGGCTTTTGTTCCTGCTTGAGAGAAAAATGCTCCAATTGCACTTGGATGGGATTTTCTGATATACACCAGTTCATCTCCTGAAGGATTACTGTGGAATGTCTAAACTTTGGCAAAGTCTAGCAAAGCAGTATGGAATCACACTGAACTGAACATGCACATCTATGACAGTGGCCAAGTAAATTTTAGACAATTTCTTAAAACAGTTAACTCTAAATCAATTCAGAAATCGAAAGAGAACTAGGAATGCAGTTGATAGGCTAGAACATGCTTTCCATCATGAATGGATTCCAGCTGTGATTGAACAACATACTGCAAGAACATGCTAGGATTGAGAGGAAGACAATCAGCCGTCTAGCCCATTTGATTACAGATGTTGTGAATTTTACAAGACATCCTGTTGTCCTTTAGAATCCCTTCAGTAAGAAATGCTCTTGGAAAGATTTAGTGAGCCACACAATACAAGTTAAGTTGTTCATGCATGCTTTCATTTTGTGCTTGGCTGAAAGCAGCCTCTTCCATTTAATGAAGCTTTGCCCATACTTTGAGAATTTTCTGATAAATGTTTCCACAGGGCTAAAGAATGTATATCTGGTTACACATTGTACCTCTTAAGGCTAAAAATGGATCTGAATGTTCTACACGAGCTTCACAACCTAAATATTATTTCACCACAACATTTGATGGATCATGACAGGTTGGAATGTGTGATGGTTTGGGTTTGGAATTCTGTGTTGTTGGTGAGGAAAGACAAAGGCAGCTGTCATAACTACTGGTACAGCCCCCTAACCTGTTTAAAATGTACGTTTGAGGTTTAGGCTTCATACCACCAAGTGGGCAGTTCCAGTGCCTTCTAGTAACCAAATCATTCCAGTCTAACCAGTTGACAATAAATTGCCAATTGAATCCACAACCACACACTTTTTCTATAACCTTGAGAACACTTTTCTTAGGCTAACACACTTCACAACAGCTAGACTGCAAGAGTAGTTTAAAATGACAAACTGGAAAGAAAAAAAATAATGCTGAGAGAATTTAGATTGTGGAAGTGCAATATTAAGAATGTAAGCATTACTTACATATTTCTGAGTTTCAAGACAGAAAAGTACAACATAAGACTGTTTATACAGTAGCTTTATCACCCGGTAACTCACAACTGGCAACACACTAAAGATGAGTGCTATACTGTAGGTGTGAGCCTGGCCAGTGCATGGATGGGAGACCTCCTGGGAAAACTAAGTTCTTAAACATAGATCTGTTGACTCTAGCCTGATACAGATTAAGATACATAATTTTCACATGTTTTAATGCCCATATCCATTAGCAAGACCGCATCTTTTTCAAAACCTAGCTTTATTCAAAGGCTGTGTATGTGCAAGTCTTTGTTTTACTGCGATAACTTGCTATTCTTTCATCTACTTTTTTGCTTCTGTTGTGATTAATCGTTAAAACCGATTCTTGAAAGTGCTTTTATTATTATTATTTATAATACTAATAATGGATTGAACAATGTTTCAAAATTGAAAGGATTTATATTCAGCCTATGAGGATCACTCATGAAACAATGTGAATGCAGAATTAAAATAAGCGTCCTTTATAAGATTAACTTCTATTGCTTTGAAACAACTAGTACATTTAATACCGTATAACATCAACTACAAAAGACGGAAGAAAATAAAAGGTTTGGGAAAAGAAAATTAAGGTTGAGCTATCTTGTCATTCAGATAGAAGCCCGACCCTACCCTGCGCTGATTGGGTGGAGACTCCCTGAGATTAGAACTTTTGCTGTAGCGGAGTATTTCATACATTGACTCGGAGCGCTTGAAGCAGTCTGCGCCTTTCGACCCATCGCAGGGAAAGTCAATACCGCAGCAACGCAATGAGGGAAATCGTTCATATACAGGCTGGCCAGTGTGGCAACCAAATAGGAACAAAGGTAACTTTTTTGTTTGAGTCATTATTTGATTTTTCCATAACTGTTCATTTGTAAATTATAACCGAATGTAAAGAATTATACAAATTGTAAGGCTTTCACGAGTACAATGAAGTGTGTGTGATAGTAAATTTATAGAAAATCCACATATAATCTACATAGAAGATGATGATGGTGACTCGGTTTAATCCTAATTTTTTATCTACTTGGTATACTGATTTTTGTGCCGGAGCGCACAGGGAGTGGCAAGAATGGTGTCTGTAATGTCCTAAACATTCAGAGAATTCTTCAGCTGTCAAGCACTGCCTGTGTCCGTTATTAGAGAGGTTGAAAGTCAAACCCTTACTTTTTTCAGAACGTCGTAAGTTTATAATAATTACTGTTGCTTTTTAAGTGTGTCTGGTTGAATCCTGATTTAATCCTTTTCGTTGTTTGGAGCAGTTTTGGGAAGTGATCAGCGATGAGCATGGGATTGATCCTGCCGGAAATTATGTCGGTGACTCAACTCTCCAGCTTGAAAGAATAAATGTGTACTACAATGAGGCGTCCTGTAAGTTTGTGAGTCAGAATGAATACTCCCTGTAGCATTAATGGAGAAATTACATTAAATCTTGGAATCTTAAAATGCAGATTTTGTTGGGTGGCATGACTTTGGACTAAGTGCTTTTTTAAATATTTGAATTAAATTAACCCTACAGGTTCGAATATAAAATCCTATATTGATTACCTACTGTTTGAGTGTGCCATGTTTTTAACTTCAATGAAAGGTACATAAGAAAATATAAAAGGTTACAAATAAAAGGAAACCCTTTGGCCTATATAGCCCCTTTGATTGCTAGTGGATAATTGATCTGAGGTTCTCAATCTGCTGTTTCTTAAATTAAGCCAGGATACTAGCTTCAACAGCATGGATAGTTTGTTTTAAGCCTACAGAAATCTTGAGAAAAGAAGTGTCTTCTTTTCCCAGTTTTAAATGTACTTCCTCATACAGTAATTTCCACTTCTGTCTTCTGGGTCTTGTTTCACTGCTGATTTTGAGGAATTCTGTAGGGTTACCCTTGTCAGTCTCTGAGTATTTTGAATTCTGCAGTCAGGTCCTGTCATAGTCTTCTCATTTCAAGACTAAAAGGATTCAGTTCTTTTGGCCTGTTACTGTAAGATATTCCTTTACGCCCATGAACGTATCTGGTATCAATGTCTGGACTAATTCCAGTGGAGAAATATTTTTTTTAATAACGCGGTTACCAAGTTTGAATATAGTATTCTAAACAAGGCCTTACTAGTTCGTAACATTCCTTGACAATGATGTAAGTGTTGGACTGTTCTACACTGCTGCTGCCCCAACTCGTAATTGAATTTCATATTAGGCAGGTATTGTGTATTTTGTACTTACCTTTGAACGTCTTCAAAGGTCTATCATTATAGGTAAACTCCTTCACTGTACTGTGCAAACTGCTGCATGGTCATTATTATTATTACATTAAGACTTTGTTCTGACCTCTTTCACTTGTATATAAAATGTTTATCTTTAAACCTTTGTATGTCGCTTCAGTTAAAGTCATCAGCCAACTGAATAATAACAACAAAAGAAAGCAGTCTTTGTATCAAATTGTCTGGTGTGGCTTTGTCTTCCAGCCCACAAATATGTTCCCCGTGCTGTACTTGTTGATCTGGAGCCAGGCACCATGGACAGTGTCCGATCAGGACCCTTTGGGCAACTTTTCAGACCCGACAACTTCATTTTTGGTAAGCAGTCGTGTGGATGGTTATGTAAGCAGTGCAGAACATGATAAGTACCTTTGTGGTAGGTCGTACAGTACACCCAAATACCAAACATAAAAATGGCATTCTCTTTACAGAGAAACACAAACCTGATATATCCACAAAGTGAAGCAGAAATAACATTTGCCTTGTCTTTCTTAGCTTATAATCAAAGTGACAGAAATACTCATTAGAATTAATAACACAGCACTAATACATAATATGTTAAGTGAATGTAGTAAGGATTTGGTTTGACAACTCAGTCCAATAAAGAGTTCTGCCTCCAACCGCAATGGGAATTCATTTTAGGCTGTGAGATCATAGTGAAGATGCCTGTTCTGTGTTACACTAAATGTATTCAGTCTGGCTTCAGAGGCCTTCAATCCAAGTATAACTCATTTCCCACTTCATTTATCTGGTAAAATCTGAGAGTCTGCTCCATATCTCCTATATACTGTATTGCATGTACTGTATATAAAATGTGTAGGCATGGAATTTGTGCCGTATGACCACGAATATTTGTTACAGTCCATTGTGTGCCTTTGTGCCTGTGGGAAAAATGACCATCCGCTCAATTCACTGTTCTATTTCAGCGAGTCTCTCTGGTGGCACAAACCTGTACATATACTGAGAGACATTAAAATGCAACAATGAGAGAATGCCATTCAGCCTTCATACCCTGTTCAGTAACTTGTACTTACCTTCGCAGTATTAACCCAAGGACACCATTCAGCTGTTTTTTTAAAGGCACCAGAGGATTAGCTTCAACATGGCTGAACAGTCTACTACATTAAGCCACAAACTTTTGTGTGACAAAATGCCTTCATTTCTTAGTTTTAAATGTACATCCACATAGTTTCCCCTGGAGTCTGCTGGTTCTTATTGCACTACAGGATTTGAAGAACTCCATAGGTTTAACTTTATCAGTGTCTTTGAGAATTCTGAATACTTTAATCAGGACTGTTCTCTGTTAAGGAATATAGTTTAGTTTAGTTAGAGGTTTAGTTCTTTTAGCCTGTCAGTGTAAGACATTATTTTAAGCACTCTCTATACTCACAACAAATGGGTATTTGAAAGAGCATGTACCAAGAGACATTGAAAATACAACAGATGCATTGGTTTCAATGCTAATTTCTTACATTTTTATCAGCTGTCAGTATTTTTCAGAGAATGAAAGCACCCCACAGCTTTGCACAGCAGCATGGCGAACACAGTACAACTCTATTCACGCTGCCCATTTTATGCAGTCTAGCCAGAGGCATCTTCCTCACAAGTTATCTAGCACTGACTTGAGACTGAGTGAGGATTAGCACATCCATCTGTCACTGAGTACTTGAAATAGATAAGAGCCATTTGAAGTGATGATACAAACACTGGAACAACAAAAAAGTCACTTTTCTAAGCAGGGTAAGGCATTTTGCCCTTTTTGCAGAAACAGAAATGCAAAACAATTTTTTCAGATATTTTTGACAGTTATATAACTTTAAATGTATGTGAAATACTGTTTTTAAGTTCAAAGTAAAAAACATGCAGAATGTTCTGTTGTTATAATAAACATGGAAGCAGACATAAGTCCTGTCTTATGAGTCTGCTTGACAATGAAATAACACAATGAAGATTTGCAGCAGACTAATAAAAACTAAAAACTAAATTTTAAACTTTGTGAGTATACTTCCTAGATACTGTATTTAAATATATGTCAGTATCTAGGGCAATATAAAACAACATAGTGGAAAATTGAGATTGTTAATTGTTAGACAATACAGATGGTTCTAAATGTAATGTAGCCTCTGATAATAAACTGAGCATAATTGTTTAAAAATCAGCAATAAACAAAATGAGTAAGGAAACATTTTTATACCAATATTTTTAAAATATGGTTTGATGACCTTGCAAGACAAGGTCTCCAAAACCAAAGTGTTTCAAGTCATGACACCAGGATAGTTTGAAATCTTCTTGTAAAGAGAAATAAATGCTGTGATTGCTGGCAAGTTAAATTTGGTTTCAATTTTTTGCTGTTGAATTACAGGGCAAACAGGTGCAGGGAACAACTGGGCAAAAGGCCATTACACAGAGGGGGCCGAGCTGGTGGATTCAGTGCTGGATGTGGTGAGGAAGGAATGTGAACACTGTGATTGTCTGCAAGGCTTCCAGCTCACCCACTCCCTGGGCGGAGGCACGGGCTCTGGAATGGGAACGCTGCTCATCAGCAAAATCCGTGAGGAGTACCCGGACAGGATCATGAACACCTTCAGTGTCATGCCCTCTCCCAAAGTGTCAGACACGGTCGTGGAGCCCTACAACGCCACCTTGTCCGTGCACCAGCTGGTGGAGAACACCGATGAGACGTACTGCATCGACAATGAAGCTCTATACGACATCTGCTTCCGTACCCTCAAGCTCACCACCCCCACCTACGGTGACCTCAACCATTTGGTGTCGGCCACCATGAGCGGGGTCACAACTTCGCTGCGTTTCCCCGGGCAACTCAACGCCGACCTCCGCAAGCTGGCGGTCAACATGGTGCCTTTCCCCCGTCTCCACTTCTTCATGCCGGGCTTTGCTCCCCTCACGGCTCGGGGCAGCCAGCAGTACCGCGCCCTCACCGTGCCTGAGCTCACGCAGCAGATGTTTGATGCCAAGAACATGATGGCAGCCTGTGACCCGCGCCATGGCCGTTACCTTACGGTGGCCACGGTCTTTCGGGGACCCATGTCCATGAAGGAGGTGGACGAGCAGATGCTCGCCATCCAGAACAAGAACAGCAGCTACTTTGTGGAGTGGATACCCAATAACGTCAAAGTGGCCGTGTGCGACATTCCCCCTCGTGGTCTGAAAATGGCTTCTACTTTCATTGGCAACAGCACAGCCATTCAGGAGCTGTTCAAGCGCATCTCAGAACAGTTCTCAGCCATGTTCAGGAGAAAGGCCTTTCTTCACTGGTTCACTGGAGAAGGGATGGATGAAATGGAGTTTACAGAAGCTGAAAGCAACATGAATGACCTGGTTTCAGAATACCAACAATATCAGGAGGCCACGGCCAATGATGAAGAAGAGACTTTTGAGGAAGACGAAGATGACATTAATGAATAGAAACATTGATCTGCAACTTGCTCTTATATTGTTTGGAAATTACTTTTTTACAGTGCATTTGGGGTTCCAAGACACTTTTTTCCCTTGTTGGTGTGTTTTTATAGAGCTAAAGGAGAACAACGGAATTGTAACAAGTTTTAGCAAAGTGTTTATCTGAAACAAAAGCAGTTAGAATAAAAATTTAAAAAGAGATACAACCAAACGTGTCTGTGGGTTTATAAGAGCGTCACAGTAATGTGATTTGTTCTGAAGCTGTGACAAGAGTGTCAGAGGTGTTGGTTCTGTAAGATCATAAATAAGCAACTCCCAATGTGGCCAAGTGATGTTGTCAGGAAAACAAACAAATACCACTATAGGTTATTTAGGAAGAGATCACATCACTGATGTATACCCAGAGAATAGCTATATAACTGGGAACTTCATCAGGAAATGGGAACCAAACATGGATGGAAAGACAACCTTGATAAAGTCAACATTAAACCACTTTGAACATAAAGATTATGATCAGGAGAGAAGGCTTGTTAAGCCATCTTTGTCATGCAGTTCCAGTAGCTTGTTGTTCAAGGATCCAAATGAATTTGTATTCACTAAATTATTGGATGGTACCTTTTGGTTTTAAGTCTTAAAATAAATTACCCAAAACATTTAATTGCTACTAAGTCACCCAAAATGTAATCTTCAAATTGTTTTCATCTTCAAAAACAAAAATTTCTTGTACTGTTTTAAGATTCACCAAATCTGAACATTCCTTTTCAATTTGATCATTCCACCTAAATGTAATCATTACATTGCTGGTTTTGTCTTTTGTGCTACATCTTTCTTGATTTTCTGTGGTACTGGAAAGATTTTGCACCCAAAGTATATACCTTTTTACATCCCTTAAATTGTGCTGTAATGCTCTCCTCATGTCGTCCTATGAATACCTTTCTCCTAGCATTTTAATCTTTTATGTTTTTTATGCCTGTAGACATTTTCCTTCTACTTTGTCACCAACTTTAGTCTTTGACTGCAACACCATCTGCATTTTTCAAACTCTCCTTACAAAGACATATACAGTACCTTCTAGCTTTTAAACCAGTGTTGGGTAGACACTACAACTCTGGTGTAAAAACAATGTTTAAATGTTAATGTTACCATCATTTACCCACATACAGGATTCCTCTTTTCTATACGTTTCATTCTGTCTTGGCTATTGCATAAAAAATGGTTTAAGTACTGAATACAGATTCAGTGTACATCCATTCAGATGAGCGATTGTAAAAAGCACAAGCAGCAGGTGCTTGAAAAGCACTTCACAATGTGCATAATCTGTTCCTAACAGCTACTGCCGAAAATAGGTAAATTTTTTAAACGAGGATTATTTTTCTTGCGCATCCTGGAAGATCTTTTCAAATACAGTGGAAACAAACTTCAGGAGAGAAGAACACACTAGTTCATTTTAGCACCCCAATGAACATCGTGCCTGGGCAAAAACTGAGGTATTAACTCCTTTTTTCTTGGCATTTGTTGTTTTGTATCCCAATTCTTACTAATGTTACCTCTCTTTACAGCTGCCATGTGGCTCCTCCTAACACCCTATTTTGAAACTAAATTTAAAGGTGTTAGCGATATGTAATAATCAAGAGAAGGTTTAAAGCCACGGGCTTCATAAATTTCATTTCTGATCCCTGTGTGCAAAACCTTGCATTCCAGCACAGGAAACAAAATCCCCCTGAGCATTCAAAACAGCTGCAGGGGCTCAATGTCTATATTTTTGCCATGGCAAAATCAAGAATCTGCATGTGAGGATGCATTTTTACTTGGTTATGATGAGATAGGCTAAAAAAAACGTTTTCTAAAAAATCTCTGAAGTAAATAAATAATGTGTAAAATAAAAAAAAAATATTGGCTTTTGTATTTCCATTAAAACATGAGGGTTTCAATGAGCACTGTCAATGTAGTTAAGTGCTCAACAGCTGTTATCACTAAAGTTAAGATCTTCTGGTATGAACAGCTGTTGTACATTGGAAGCAGACGGCCAGCTGAATGCGAACAATTGCATGCTAAAATATTTCTGTCAGCCCTTTAGTCAGTCAGGCCCAAGAACCAAAATGAATGAGTAAGGTGTGGCTTAATTAGGGCACTTTTTTAAGTGGTTCACCCTCATTTTTATTAACGTAATAAAACCAAACATGACAAGGCTTCTACTAGAAGACTCTGTAGTCTTCCCATGAAGAGCACAACTGATCTATGATAGCATGGCATTTGGTTTGGTTTATTTGATTTAAGATCAGCTGACAGACAGAAGTGATTTTACCATACACTTTATGAAGGGTGCAGGCTGACACATACTGTACTGTATGTATGCAGTATATGCAGTTTTGCTGATCAACCCCCAGAGGTGGCTGACTTGCTGTTATTATCTTATCTCACAAACAGAATCCAATTGCAATAAAATTAGCTTTTATTATTCGACAAAATTATTTTTTTTTTCTTTGGTGAGATGTATGGTAGGTCGGAGAAACAAGAAAAATACACTAAACAATCACAAATGTGAAAACCAGCAAGATAGCTGATGGCACTCCACTTAGTATAATTTAATCAAACCCTTGAATTCCTGTCTTTTATTTTGTTTTTTTACATCATCCTCCACTTCACAGAAGCAGGATTGATACTGAGATTGCAAAGATACATTTGAAAACTGCGTCTTGGATAGTTCATACTTCTATAAAGATCTTTAAAGCTGAAGAACATAACCACATTATATCAGATGGTGTGTGAAATGTTATGTTTCTTGCTGCTTTCTGAGCACTGGTGAAGCCAGTGGCCAGGAACCTTTATGATAATGCACTAAAACTCAGAAAGGCATTCCTCCAGTGATCTGCCTTGCAATTTGTTCTTCTGTGCTCTCCTCTTTCTCTTTCTCTCGGTCCTTGTTCCAATCCTTTAGCCCTTCGGGAAGGGTAGTGTCCTCATCAAGACCTCCAGTGCCCTCCACAAACTCCTCATAAGTAGATTTCTCGGCAAAGGGCCTCGGACCCAACAGCTCCACCATGTCATTCTTATCAAGGACTTCTTTTTCCAACAGGCGAAGTGCCACCTGAAATAAATGGGAACATCAAGTGTTCTGGAAGTGCATATATCAATGTTATAAAAATATTTAACATATAAGAATTCATATATTTAACAACAATCAGAATTAATACATTAGAAAGGAACGCAAAGGCAAATACACTGGTACCCTTTGTTTAATTTAATACTTTAATTTAATATTTTTCTATTCTAACTATACTTCACATGGGATAATGGCAACGAATCATAAAATACATTATGAAAATGTCATTATGAATAAATAATACTTTTAATTGAGAGACTATATTTGGACTGTTTTTTGGACTTCATACTGTTAGGAAAACGTCTATATGAGAAAGAAGTGACCTCTAAACATGAAAATCTGGGAACAACTGAATTCAAAACGTAAACAGAAATTATACAGCATCACTAAAACCTTTTATGTATTTTCCCATAGTTTGAAGCCTCTCACCTTTTCAACTTCAGCTTTCTTCTCCGACAGCAGTTTCTGGGTCAGCTCATAAGCTGTGTTTATGAGGAGCCGAACCTCGGTGTCAATGAGTCTGGCGGTGGCTTCACTGTAGGGCTTCTCCAACACCATCTCTCCCTGACGAGGGAGATCGAAAGACACCTGTCCCACCTTCTCGTTCATCCCAAACTGAACGATCTGCGAACACAACGGTGAGAGTTATCACACACGACAGAAAAGAAAACCAGTCCTAGGCTGATTAAGATCTTCTCATTTCCCAAAAACCACCTGGATCTCAAAATAGTTTTCTAACAGTGCAATGACATTGCTCCCAATATTAAAAAAAAAAAAATCCTTGAATTTGGAACTATTATAACAAATATTTTTATACTCTTTATCTGTGCATTCATATAGTATATGCATCACTCAGTTCAGAATGAAGTGTGAATTATTCTTGTACATTTCAATGATTAAATAAACCAAAGGGATTACATTACTATTATAATTTAAAAACATGACATACATGTTCTTAGTGATATATTTTCTATTTCAATGCTGTCTCTAACCAAGCAGTTGTGATGATGATATATGTACCAATTGTCCAGTTCATCAACTGGAAAACGACTTATAATAAAAACTAGGAGCATAGGATGAAGCCCCAGACTTCATGGACTTGAGCCTGGGCTGCTTCATTAGTCACCCGAGACAAAGAATCCCTGTGTGGGGTGGAACAACTCATGCCTTGCTGGTGTTCGCTAGCTTGAGCTTGAAATGTCCTCAAGATTGCAGCACAATAGTGACTCTTGGCACAACTAGTTAAACCACGCTTGAATGCTATCATATAGAAATATTCAGCTGCATAAACAAACATTCAAGGCTGATATTTAGTGGACATTACTTTCTATAACAGTTGCTAAAATGAAGGAACTATTGAATGGCCTTGTATGAGAGGATGAGAGTGTCCAAACCTGTGCGTAAGCACTCTGAGTGACCTTCCTCAAGTCGTCCTGAGCCCCTGTTGTTATTCTTCCAAAAAAGATCTCCTCCGCCACTCTCCCTCCCAGAGTCATGCACATTCGGTCTAGAAGCTGCTCTTTAGTATACAGGTACTGTTCTTTGGGTAAGTACTGGGCGTAACCCAATCCCTTTCCACGAGGAATGATGGATACCTGCAAACAAAAAAAAAAACTGAAAATCTCATCCTTCGCTTGCGCACCGAGCATAATTTACATTTTAAAAAGTGCTCTGTCCCTCACAAGTTGGAAAAAGAATGTCGATGTTAAAAAAACAACATCGCTGCCTGTTGCTCTGGTTGTATAGGAAGCTCCCTTTTGCTTCAACATTGTAAGTACAGTAGGTGTGAAATTGCTGTTTAGGTTTTTGAAACAAATCCCAATATTCTGTTCAGCTTCCACTTCCCAGGCTGCTTCTGTGGAAGGGTTTCAATACAGACACGCATTTGTGGGGCACTAGCACTTCTTCTTTCGCAATGTCAGCTTACACCTGTGCAGGGGTTATGTCCTCAAAGCAGCTGTTCATCTGAAGCCACCAAGAACAGATTTCTCTCTAACCCTTGTCGCCGCTTCCAGCAGCTGCATGAGATTTAAGCAATACAGAAGCTTGTATTTCTAAAAATATAAGCTAGCAAGACAGAGCTTGCATTAAATTCAAGATAATGTGGACAATAAAAAAAACAATCTATTAAAGCTTGTGAAGTTAACTTTGCTTATGTGTGATTATTCCTTGCATTTTTCATAGGAGTAAAATGTATCCCTAAAAGGTAACATCAAAACACCGCTTCTAAAAATTTAGGGCAAAGATATTCTAGTAGGAGGGGGTGACCATACATGTTTAAAAGAGTGCTGTCTATTTTGAGAAGATAAGTTTTAAGACATCTGAAGAAAGCAACATTAAAGGAGTTCATGTTATGTGGGATAATTTAAGAGCTGAATGTTTGCATCCAAACACTTGGCTCTCAGTCACGCGCAAGACATTAATTGACATGTATGAAGCACAAAACTTTGCCCATCATAACCCTCAGGGGAGGTTTATCCTCATTCAGTTACAATCCTGTAATTTGGTGCAGTTAATCTATATGAAAAGAAAACCAGACGATGTGGTGTTGTTTGATGAGATGAATATCTCCATTGTCAATAGAACCAAATACGGTAAAAAGAAAGAGGAGTAAAGTAACCTGGAAACAGTGAGGTTTATCTTTTAGAAATGCATATTTCATGTTGTAAACAGGTTACATTTGATAGGCAATCACTGCCACACAAGTGCTTTAATTCAAATACCTTTAAAAGAGGATCAGCATGCTCTAAATACCAGCCTGCTACTGCATGTCCAGCTTCATGATATGCAACAGTCTTCTTCTCCTCTGGCTGAAGGACTTGTGTCTTTTTTTCAAGACCTGAAAATGGCAACAAAATCTTGAAAAAAATCATAACTACAAAATATTAAAGCACTTCTGGCACAATGCTTCTTTGTGGGCCACTTTCAGATTTGATACAAAAGAAAAATATTAGTATGTAGAAAATTTGGATGACTTAGTTTACTGTAGAATTTGAGGCGTTTGGGTTATTTCTGTATGTGACAGAATTGCGTTTTGCAATTTTGAAGGCCAAAAACGCATTTGTTTTCTGGATCAGTCCATAATAAAGAGTGTTTACCATACAACTGCAAGCAGTAAGAAACAGATACGCAAGTAAGGTTCTCACAATAACATTCCTATTTTTGTGTATCACCGATTTATTTCTTCTCATCCTTCCAACCTCATCAAAGTTTCTAAGTTAAAACAAAAAAACTATTTCTAATTAAAAAGGATGCATACAAATCAACTACACTGCAAGTGTCCAATCATGAAGGACAACAGTATTAGCAGGTTTTCTAGGTTTCTTTCAGAAAGAACAGAAAGAAGTTATTAAATTGGTCCCGTTACGCCGGCTAGTTCATCTCACTAAAAGCCAACTTCAAATGAAAACCTGCAGACACACCATCTTTGCAGGAACAGGTTTGCCCATCCCTCAACTAAGAAATGATAACATTTACAGTACCTCCTATCACACGCTCAATAGCCTGTTCAAAGTGCTTCTGGTTGATAGAATCAGAGAGGTGCCTTGCAGCAATTAATGCAGCTTCATTGCAAACATTAGCAATGTCTGCCCCTGTAGAGAAACAGAAACAAAAGGGACAAGAAACACTGCATGTAAAATGAGCTTTTCACTATTCCAACTAACGAGGGAAAACATGTTTTATACAATTAAAGCTAAATATAAAAACATCAAGACCAAACATGGTCTTTTCAGCAGTCAAAGACAAATGAGTGAATCGGAAATCTCATGATGAAATGAGATGCAGACATAAGTTTCATTAAACTGAAACGTTGTCTCTGCAAAATCCAGATTCCCTGTTCTTCATCAAGCAAGTCGGGCACCACATTGCATGTTTGAACTTTTTTGACCATCTTGATGAAGAGAAGGTCAAATGATTATCTATAGATCAGAACTTCATAAATTACCAAAATTATGAAAACTCAAAGTCACCTGGATGAAACATTGATAAGAAACAAGATCATATCCAATGCTTAGAAAGAACATGCTTATCATATAGGTATACACAAGTGATTGAGAGAAATGTGCTTTGAGAGATGACTAAGAGGGAGTGTGGAGATAAAATTAAGGTGAACTGGACTACAAAGTTAGGCACTTTAGTTTACCCAGCACCTAAAACAATAAGATTAACATCCAGGACAAGTTGTACCAACACATTTCACTCATCAGATAAGTACTCTTTTAATAAAACATTAAAAATGGTTTTATAAATGCTTTTATATAATTAAGATAGCCATACTGAAACTAAGATATACTCAACCTTATATACTGTACCTTCTTGTTGTACAACTATGAATAGAGTATAAATACCACAGTTAATTATATACCTAAAGATTGTAACACAAAATATGCTTTTAAGTTACCAAAGCAAGTCACAAGATCAGACAATCAGGCTTCTAAATCATGGTTTTCAGTTAAACAAAGAGTAATAAGCTAACTAAAATCACTCAAAATATGCTACTAAAAGTAAAATAAAACAAGTCATACTGCAGCACTAAGGAATACTTTTTTCTGTTGCATTCAGAAATAAAAAATGCTAATGTTCCTCTATGCATCATAAAACAGTTTAAATTTCTACAGCTGCACACTAATAATATTTAAAAGTTTGCTTTACTACTTTGTGGCTGCTTTCAGGTGGATAAGAAAAGTAGACTGCAAAGTATTAGCTGCATTTTCTTTTGAGAAGGTTAATTCTCTAACTAATCTATAATTTGCAGTGACTTGGTTATTACTAGCACTCATAATTTTAACTCCCACTGAAGCCTGTTGCTGCTCCCATGGTGCAACAGGATAGAATTCATAAGAAATTTACTAAACAAAAGACACAAAGAAATTAAGGAAGACCAAACTCGCACACTGAAGTGTTTACATTTCCTCATACTCACCTGAAAACCCTGGCGTTAATGCTGCCATTTTCCTGGCTAGGCCTTCCTTATCTAGGGACAGGTCCAATTTCAGAGGACGCAGATGGACTTTGAAAATGGAAGCCCTGCCTTTGATATCTGGGGGCCCTATTGAAAACAAAGGGAAAAGAATATTATGGCTGTCAGTTCTAGGCACCTATATCCTTTCTATGCCTACTGTCTTTAATTACGTTCTGATGTTATCTCTACTAAAAGTAAAGAATAAAATTGCAAATTGATAATATGGAGAAAAGGACCAAAAAACACTTGAGAGAATAAATGACACATGGTCAAATGTTAGTCAAATTCAGGGTCATGGTGAGCTGGAGACAATGAGAGAAGGGCAGGATACACCCAAGACAGGATGCCAATCCACTGACTATAGATTATATAGAGACACCCATTCACCTAGACAGCATACCTAGGATTATCGTGGAGTATGGGAGGAAACCGACACACCCAACGAAAACCCATGTGGGCATGGGAGAGAGCTTGCCAACTTTATAATTAAGCACAGCAAGCAATAACTGAAGCTAGGAAAAAGCTGTGACAACACTAATCACCATGTCAGTAGGCTACTCTCATCCGAGTGAATGATTTTAATTTCCAATATTCTTTATCAAAGGGGGAACTTTGATTGTAGACACCGATGAAGATAAAGAGTCAATTGAAACATTGGGTCGTTATTCAGCTATTTATAACTAGGAGCTATATAATAAAGAAAAATAAAATGAAAATAACTTTGATGGCAGGGTTGGTGCAATGGGACGCACGAGTAGCCATCTTCTTTCAAAAGTTCATAACTTTGAACTTAATTTGTCGAAAATCTTTAACCTAAGATGTTAAAAGATATTGTAACAATGAAAAAAATGCCAATAACATGTACCAATAAATATCTGTCTGTCAAAACGTCCAGGCCGCAGAAGGGCAGGATCTAGAATGTCTGGTCTGTTCGTTCCTGCCAACACTACCACATTTGTTGTAGTGTTAAATCCTGAGGAGAAAAGAGTGGTTTATGTTAACAACAAAACTGATTAGTTATAAAGCTTGAAAGTCAGTGAGGTCAGCTAAATTCCACGCTGTTTCTGAGTCTGTACAGGAAAAGAAAGGTCTGTACTAAAGCCCTGGAATACAACTTCAGCTCTTTATGCATGTCACCAAAACGATGCACAACAGTAGATCAGGACATTATTTAAGAGTTGTAATGTACACAGAATAATCCAGTTCTTTCAAATGAAAAAAAATATGCTCATTTTAGTTTAGAAAACACACACTCTGCCAGTTCACATTTATCTAGAATTCATTTGTTTATCTGAAGTTCACCCAAAACGTCCCAATAATTCCAAACTTTCAGCCTGTCTTTCCACAAACTAAAAGAAAAGCTCTTAAAAGGCACAGAAAGCCAGTGTGTCCCAATAGTACAAGAAATAATGTTCACAATTTATACTGGCAGTCTAATGTTCAACAAAATAACAAACATCTCTGAGGAGCTAATGTTACCAATTTCTAGGCACATGAGTTGATAGGCAATCTAAAATTGGAAAGCAGGATTTTTCTTGACATAAAATTAATGAAAATATATATTTTTGTATAAACTTCTACGTGTTACTTGGCTGGAAAACTATATGGTCTTGCTTTTTCTAGGACATCCCTTGCTCTTAAGCATTATGTGACTTATGTAGAAACAGTTCGTAAAATTAGACTGTATAAAAACATAATTCCTTTTCATTCCATATCTTTAAAAAAGAATGCTAGAGTATGTATTAAGTTCCATGCTTTCCTGCTGCTGACTGCTTTTTCCTCACCACACCCTTCCCCTTAGCTTTTTAACCCTTGACATCTGCTCTCACCATCCATTTCCACCAGCAGCTGATTCAGAGTATTCTCCTGCTCGCTCTGTCCTCCGAAATTTCCCCTGCCTCTCTTTCGACCCACTGCATCAATTTCATCAATAAAGAGGATGCACGGGGCATTCTTGCGGGCCAACACAAAGAGGTCTCGAACCTGCAACACAAAAAATAGTTTTAGAAAAGCTGAAACATGCCTTTGAGAGCAATTCATAGTACTGATTGGCAATTAGTACTGTCATGCTTTATTGACTTTTTCATGTTCACAAATACAAAAATACACCGATTTTTAAAAAATATATTTAAACCAGCGCTGTCCTATAAGATGAGTTACATTTTGACTTACTCTCTCAGTAGAACTGTTTAAATAATTACTATATTTATCCTGAAGTAGTCAAAATAGGACTTACAAGAGTATTTTAGCTTGCTGAAATGACTGGATTTGTATTGCTGGTTAACTGCTTTTGGAGAGAAATCATTTTCAGCACTAGATGACACTAAATCATACAGAATAATTCATTGCTGACTGAATGAATGCAATCATCTTTTTCAGGTTTAATAAATTTTCCTGTAATCACCTGCAGCTCAATAAGAACTACACAAGTTTAGCAACGAAGTAACTGAAGCAACTGATCTACCCGCACTTCAGGGATGGCCCATTAACCATCTGGAGGTAAAAATCAATGATCACTTAACTGCCTGGAGTGACATATCAGTCCAAGGTATGATTTTATAACAATTCTGCTTGTCTACATGAATTTTGACAACAAGCCTTTCCAAAGTGTTTAATGGGCTGAGGAAGAGCCATTTAAAAATATTTACTATGTTAGCCAGTGGAATTAACCTTCATTTAGGATTATATTTTCTATTACACATATGCAGTGTTTAGTAAAATTATTTCACAAAAATATATTACAGATACAGTACAAGTTACTTGTGCTAGGAGATTACTTTAAATTAATAAGAAGTTCAGAGAAAATGTTTTAGAGTGGCAATTACTTTACATGGTAACTATATACACAAAGAACAAACCTCACTGTGACTTAAAATAATTTCCCCCAAAAACGTAAATCACTTAATCAAGTAACTCATAATTGATTTCTTAATAGATTTTTTAAAACTAACTTTCCCAAGGACTGATCATATAGCACACATGTATACAGGTGTATTAACTATCAGTGAAAAAACATATTAAACTTTTTCATTCATATTTCAACTAACTGCCTGTTTAGAGTTTTCACTAAGCTTGTTTCATTCCCTTTTTTGTCTGGCTCAGTATCTAGTTCTCTTCCTACGGCTGAGCTATCAGGTCATTCGCCATCTCAGTGTGCTGACAGGGCGGATTCCCACTGAGGTCAGCAAACACTGAGTCAGTGGTCTTTCTCTACAACTGATCCTCTGTGCCGCTTCCTTATCATCTCGTTTGCTCACCCACCCGCCCTCCATCATTCAGATGCATAATACAGACTTCTAATGATTCACCAACAGCAAGAGTTTAAACTATTCGCACGACTGGAGACGCTAGGTAAAATAACAGAATGTAACGATCATAACCTATGCTTATATTAGAGATGGAATTGATATATTTTACTTGGAATAAAAACAGATATTCATGTTCCAACATAGTCTCTTTTAATCTCACAATCTCTACAGAAACTTTCACTCCCAGTAGTGGATTTTAGTAGTGGAGCTAATCAAGGCAATTTATTCACATAAGCGGTAAACATCAACTTACCCGTGCTGGCCCTACACCCACAAACATCTCTAGGAACTCTGACCCATTAACGGTGATGAAAGGCACATTTGCCTCCCCGGCTGTTGCTTTTGCCAAGAGAGTCTTTCCTGTGCCTGGAGGTCCCGTCAGAATAGCACCCTATAAACAGCAGATACTGTATGAGATATGTCAATGTATACACTGGCCATGACAACAGAACATCGAACTTTTATCTGTACTACAAATTAAATGATTGCAAGCAACAAACAATATTGAGGATAAGAAGTGGGGAAAGTATTGCTACATCTCTCTAGTTTCTGGATTGCTACCTTTGCTTCCCTGATAATATTTGAATGACGCATTGAAAAATGCAATTTTGCAAGCAACAATGGGATCCCAGTGTGTTCTAGAAACCAAAAAGAGCACACAAGCACTAGGTAGGGTATAAGTACTGCAGTATAAATGAACTGTACGGTATATACTTGAATAAATATGTGGGTTTTATTGTTACAAACAGAGTTAAACCTTTTTCGACAGGACCTAAGCTTCACACCTTGGGGATTTTGGCCCCTAAGTCTTGGTACTGTTTGGGGTTCTTCAGGAAATTCACGAACTCCATGATCTCGAGCTTCGCCTCTTCACACCCCGCAACGTCTTTGAACTTGACATCGATCTCATCCCTCAAAACCTTGGCGGTGGTCTCCCCCACGCTGAAGAGGCCTCCCATCCCGCGGCCTGACCGCCCGCCCCCGGCGGGGCCCCTTCGCACCGTGTACAGCAGGAAGCCAATGATGAGCACCGTGGGCAGCATGCTGAGCAGGAAGGAGCTGCAGGAGACAGGAGCAGGACTGCCGCGGTGAGCGTTCGTAAGTGAACTCAGAAGTTTCATTTTACATAGCGCCCATTAGAAACAAAATAGCAAACAACTGTGCTAAGAGTTATAACTGACAGAAAATACATTAATTCCGGGTACAGAAACCCACAGAGACTCAGTTTCTAAGAGATCTGCTGCATGGCAGTGGAATGCCCTGCCTCCCAGTATCATCCACAAAGTGGTCAACGTTTGTCGACCTTAAACACTGAGAAGGATATTAGGCAACAGATCTTCCAGAAGAACTAGTGGGAAGCCAATGAAGGATCTGTGTATTAACAGGATTTTAAAATCAAAGCAATATTTATAATGTAACCAATGTTAAAAAAAACGTTACCTGCTGCATTACAGCATTCAATAATGATTCAAAGACTTTTTGAAACGCTGGTAAGATTGAGACAGTCCAAAAGGCTTCCTCCTAAGCCATCACTGTTACACACTCGTTTAGACTGCAGATAAGATATTTATTTGTAATGTGTCTGAAAGGACCCTTTTATGATCAGTATTCCTATAACCTACAGTGGACAACATTACCAGGAGTTTGGAAACCCAACCTAGAAACTTTATCCCTTTTAGAGACCGCACAGACAATTTGTCATAAATCTGACAATTACTGGTATGTTTTGGTAAAGTAAAAAAAATAACAGAAATTTTCATTTCAAGATCAATGCTTTTCTTGGCAATGTAATAGACTGGTTAAAATACACTCGAGTCCTTAAAACTCCCACTCTAAAGACTCTTTCTTTGTTGCTGCTAAACTCTTTCAGAAGTGGAACTATAGATTGAGGCTTGCTAGAAATCAAAACCTTTCAACCAAACAGGTGTCACAACAACACTTGGTTGTTAACTTGTGGTAAAGAAAGTGAACAAAAAGTGGATAGTGTCCTGTTCTTCTGACGAAGAAAGATTTTTAGCTTGTTGTTAACTTTTAAAGGGATTTAAAATACATTACAATTACAAAGTACGAAAGTATTACAAAATGATGAATGAAGATTAATTTCACAATGTAATTAAAAGATTCTTTATCTAGCCATTCCAAAATTTAAGACACGTTGAATCTAAATCTGTTTAATCTTCATTCACTGGTGAGATAAGACTACCCAACAAATGTGTTCCATTTATGTTATGTGTTATGTGTTCATCTTTAACACACATTATGTGTTCATCTTTAAACTGAAGGAACAGGAGGAAGCAACTTCCATTCATCAGCTTCCCAAAATGACGGTGTTTTACTTCCTACCTTATATGGATATAAGAAAAAAAAAATGGCAACAAAAGTAACAGAGACTTCTCCTTAAAATACTGCTCTAGCTAAGTGGTCCGCTCCCGTTAACCAGTTGATAAATTCACGGAGAACAGAGAACGTCAGCTTTATCGCAAATTTCTAAGTGTGGCTTCCTCAGCCACACTAACAAAAGCACATCTGGAGGCCTGAGAGGATGTGAGTAAGCCTTTGAACCGTCTCCTAGGTTGTAAAGAACTTCCCTTATAAGGGAGGGATTTGTCCAGTAAAACAGTTGCTGAAAGGGGTCTTCAGTTCAGCAACATGGGATTTGTGTACTTATGGCTCCACCTACAGGACTTCTTAAACGTGTTGAGCAATACTTGCCCCGCAAACACACAAAAGCACTTATCATCACTCTTTGTCTACAAATCTCTTCTGAAATCTGATTTTTCATCCTTGTCCTTACCTCTTCAGCCCTCCTGCCCCATCCTATACCTCTCTCTACCCCACATTAAAAGATGAACTTTAGTATTGTTCTACAATAAAAATTATTAGCTTTGTCTATACTGACCCACACTATGTGTGCACTAGCATTACAGTCGGTAAATGTAATGAGTGTATGTTCTCTTGAATCAAAACACATTTAACAAAGCTATTCTAACACAGGAGAACATATTCGCACTGTTTCTCCAATATCAAGTACGTCCTCTATTTTAGGGTTTTTCTGCCCCTAAAATCTTGTGGGAAGAACATCTTAATTTCCCTTGTGTACTGTACTTACTTTACCTCCAACAAACTGAAGAGGTGGTATGCTGTCACTTTCTTTCAGTCTGTACTTAAGAATCACAAATGGATTCAACTGAATTTGTTTTTTAATCAATCAAATTGAAAACTGTGCATTATCAGTGTAGTAAATTTGGAATGTGAAATTCCAAGTGATGAGACTTTAAGCAGTGCAAACTCTTTTTTTTTACACTACAGGTATTAACCAATTAAGTGAAATAAATTATGCTTTGTAACATATCCTCAACTGCATTCCGGTCTTTTTCATATATTTAAAACAAAGCTAATCAATCAGGGATGGCACATTCCTCTGGGCACTCCGCAAGCTGATGGAGAGACAGAGTCTCAGAAAATGCCCTGTTGTGGACTGAAGCCTCACCCATCGCTCTCAGTAGAATAGACCACAGGCAGCTTGTTCTCCCCCTCAATACCCATCTCCAGCTGCGCTGTCTCCAGGTTCCGTTCAAACGTGTCCACGCTGCCAATGTTGAACCACACATATTGCTGTAGAGAAAAAAAAAAGTCACAGTGAAACTAACCTAACAAATCAATAAATCTTAAATAAATAATACCCACAACAAAGAGCAGGGGTTCCCAAGTCGAGGCTTGCAAGAGGGAAAGAGCTGTTCACCCGCTCAAATTCAGCCAATAATGAGTTCACTAGCGCTGTTAAAAGCTGTGCTGGAATTAAAGACTGCAAATACGGTAAGAACATAAGAAAGGCTACACATAAAAGTAGGCCTTTAGACCCATCCAACCTCTGTGATAGTAAGTAAACACAAGGGCCCTCCAGTACTGGATTTGGGAAAGAACATTTGAAACAGTGCACAGTCAGTGTTCATCTGTGAGTTTTTTTACATAATGGACACGTTCTTTAACATCATTTTATTAGCCCTGTACAATTTCTTGCATTAGGAATTTGTCTTTTCACATACCCCAGCTTGCTCTCCATGAGACACAGACACACAGACAGGGAGAGAGAAGCTTGGGGTCAGAGCGCAGAGTCAGCCATTGTACAGCGCCCCTGGAGCAGTTGGGGTTAAGGGCCTTGCTCAGGGGCCCAATGTAGTAGGATTCCTCTGCCGGCTGCAGGATTTGAACTGGCAGCCTTCCAACCACAGAGCCACTGCTCCACCCATTTCACATTTCTTAATGTGTAAAAAATGCAAATGGACCTTTTAACAAGATCCAAGTTATAATGCTCCCCAGATGTTTTCACATTTCTTCCCCAATTACATAGAAATAAAAACATCATAAAGCTAAATATGTTACAAATTGGATAATGTAATAAGTAATGTAACAGAAGAGTCTGACACTCCGTGGGGGGGGGGGTTAATTTTAGAAAATGCAATGTTATTTCAAACTGTCCTCGCTACTCACTCTCATAATGAGCTGCTCTTCTATGTACTATCTCTGAGGCTCCACAGTTTATTAAGGTGCAGAACTTAACTGAATTTCAGATGAAGGCTAATTAAGGCCCTACACAGTTTTAAGACAAACTCTTGAATTATCAGACATACTGTTCGCCTATTTTGCAACTGCTTCTGTATATTGTCGAGATGGAGAAAATAATAAATTAATATCTACTTTGTTCCAATTGACACCATTTGTGTATAACCCAAAATTTTTAGATGAAAAATTACACCGTTTTGTTCCCACTTCCATTATGCATGTAACCTATAATCTATTAATTTAATCACACTAATTCCTCTATCTTTGTTTTAATTACTTTAACTGATTTGTACTCCACGTACATCAAATGTTTCAGTTTCATAATACAAGAGAAAACTGAACTGTTGTTTACGCTGCACATTTTAAAGATTTTATAAAGTACAAAGTTTTGGACTTTTACAATAAGGAAGCTCAAAAATGAATTGAGTTTCATAAATGGCATTTGCAAATTGATTTTTATGACGAGGAGAAAATGGACCTGTTGATTTCCCTTAACCTTGTACAACAATTAAAAGACAAGTAGTTTTAAACTGGGAGTATATATATATAGAAAAACTACTTACCCCATCAACTGGTAGTTTGCCAGGGGAAAATATCACTCTCACATAGCGCTTGTTTATGACTTCTAGTCTGTCAACCTGTTAAATGAAAGAAAATTGATTCATTCACTTATATCATCTTAGCTCACTTTTACACACCAATTTAAGCAGGCACCCTTACCCTCTAGTAATTTTCGCATTAAAATGTCAAGTTCATGCAGATGATGAATGATCACAGAGCATTTTCACACCCATCAAACGCAAATTACTTCATTCATTTGAGTTTGGAGACTGGCCTTGTGCATTTGCAGGACCTGAGGCTCAAACATCGTCAGAAAGTCTGTATTTACAGAAATAAACACCAGTGAAAAGCAGAGAATTCCAATGATTTTGCCCTGGTTTTGATGTTGCAAGACAGTTTGGATATGGAGTACATAAAAAGAGGAATACAAAAATCGTTTCTATACTTACAACACCCTTTGAGAGATAATTATTGACAAAATCTTTCCAGGTGACCTCCCTGCCTGCATTTCTGAAGAAAAAGTAGTAGGCAAAAACAGCCCAAAATGCTGCTCCTCCCATGAAATACAGACGAAAGTCCCTGTCATCCCATGGGACGTCTCCCTGAATACACAAGAAAAAAAACAGGCAAGTTTAGGGAACTGTAATTAAGACTGTTTCAGTTAATTTGAGAATGAAGGCTTTTCTTAGCAAAAGTAAAACAAAAAGACCAGTCTTTTCAAGACCCCTCCAACAGCTCTCATCCACTTGAAGGATGATCCATCTGACTGTATCACAAGTCCCCACTGCTCAGTAGTTCACTGCCTACACTATCTGCACCTTTGGACAAAAATGTAGTGAGAGGTGGGATGAGTAGACTTGTGCATGGCAACCCAAAAATGATCTGTCACTCTGTGGAGTTGTAGGTGGAATGCTTTTGAGGAAACTGGCTGCTTGCTCCCTGAAATTTGCAGTCAACCGATCTGCATTTGCTCACCTCTTTGCATCGCACTTCGACTTAACGTTTGGATATCATGATCCTGGAGTATGCACGTCTGCCCACTGTTGCTCTTTGCTATTGATGTCTTTCCCTCAGAGTTCCATACTAACATCATCTTGGACAGCAGTGCTTGGAAAACAGCCGCAAGTTCAGCTCCAGCCAAACCCACCCCAGCGATCACTCCTCTGTCAGTGTCACTGAAGTCTTCTTTTGCAGCCATACTAGCTATAATTATAGGAAACCAGGCCAGTCTGGCATTTTCATACATGACCCTAACCATGCTGGACCGTTATTTGCTTAATTAATGCATGAGCCACACCTGTATGTAAGCTCTTACTCACAATAAATTGGCCATGGAGTCCCTCATTCATCCAGGTGTTGCCCGCATTTATCAACTAGTTTGGGGTTGTACTGAAGAGAGCATATGATTTTGTTTGTGCTTTAGTGTTAATTGCAGTGGCTGAAAACATTCACGTCTTGGGTAGAATAACCTGGAGGCAAAACTCAAAACTGTACATAAAAAATATGTCCAGGAGGTTTCCTTGACTAAAAATAAATCTTTGGGACTCTGAAGGCTGATAAACCCATAACAATGACAGTCCTATCACAATGTGGCACAATTTTTAACAGCTAGAAGTTAAACACCTCATAAAGTAACAATATAAGCTACAAACTGGAAATTAAAGACCTATGCACTTTGTATGAAGTTTTTAAGATTGTATTAAGATTTTAATAACACTTAATATCCTGTTGTAATAGTAAGTTTAAATTCAACATCCTGAAATAAATACTTTTTAATGACGACCTAAATGCTGTAAAACGGTTGATACAGTAAACCTGGGGGTAGGGGTTACACTTAGACTATACAGTGAAATGTACCTAGAATCAAGATCACTTTACACGTAAATGTGGAACTACAAATCAAATACAAATACACATTTTTAAAACTGGATGTTACGCAGTCCAGCTTCTGACTCTCACATCATATATTTTCTGCTTAATAAATGTTTCCACTTATAGGCTTTCATTCAACAGTTCATGTGTGCAGAAGACCTTTATCTGCTTATATCTCACCTTTTGCAGTCGTGTCCACCACTTTGACTCGTCCTTCCTCCCTCCTCTCTTCCCTCCTCCTCCTCCCCCTCCCCCTCCCCCACTGTTCCCTGAAGATTTCTGTGAATTGGAAGGCTTGGCCTCTGAAATTGGAAATAAACAGATATGAAGTTTGTGCATGAAAATGTTCATCACCAGCAGACAAGTTGTTAACATGAATCTTCCTCCTTCTTGCACAATTCAGTAATAGTAATAAACACATTTCCTACTGATGCCTTTAGACAGGTTGTCTAAAATAATGTGATAATTACTGTATGGTGTACAAGTCAATTTGTATTGGAAAAGCAAAAGGAAGCAAATTAAAGGCTATTCAATGATGTTCAGATTGGCTGTTCTCTGTAGATTTTCAGACCCTTCCATTACCAAACTAGTTTGTGGGATAAATCATTCAGAGATGTTTTGTCTTATGCAGGCAATATCTATTCTCGAAAAGAGATCAAGAGAGAGCAGGGAACAATGTTTGCATCATACTAACATGAACATTTAGTTGAAAGACAAGGTTAAATAGCCATCAAACGTGCTATTGCTACAGTTTAGAAACCAGTGAGTGACAGAGCCTGCAAAAAGTTAAATGAATGGAAATTAGATGGAGACACAGCAAGCATCAAGACATTCCTCCTGCATAACGTTGACAACATAAGGTTGTGGGTTCAAGTCCCACGTACACGAGCAAGTCTAGTTACATGCCCTTCTGTATAATCGGTAAAAATTTAACTCTCATTTGAGAAATGCATGAATCAAATAAATTAATAAAAACATAAAACTAAAAGAGCAACCCTACGAAATTACATTTTGTGTGTCAATTATGTGACAGATGTGTAAAAAATATTGAAAAGGTGCAAACACTTTAATCTGACAACCAGTGACCAAAATGTGAATTTGTAGACTTGCTCTTTTGGACTTTATTTTTTTTCTGCACCTTTGACCTCTTAAGTTAATGACTTTCTAAAATAAATAATAGATTGACAGTTCTAAAAACATTTTGTTCAAGATGGCTTGTGAGAACGAATTTTAGGAATCAATCAAAAAGAGCATGTTTAGAAAACAGTCTGTGCTACAATTCCAATTTTCATTGTTTTATATGAATACATTGTTTTTGTGCTATGACCTTTGAATTGTTCTGTTTTTCTCTGGCATTTGAGCTACACACTATATTATTTTAAAAATACAGTTGTCTCACAAGTCAAGTCTCCCATGAATAAGTAGAGTGCTCATGGCCAGTAATCAACTCATAAATCTTTTTTTTTGGCTCCTAGCATTAGTTCTATACAGTATATATGTCAGTAACAATGCTACAATCCAAACTAAATCCAGACTAAATGGTAAACGCTATGATTTACTGTTGGCTAAAAAAGAAAGCAAATAGCAGTTTTTCATTTTGTTAGGAAGGTTATCCAGAGGTCACAAGGAACGAGAACATTATTTTTTAAGAAACTTCTGGGCTGCTGTAAATATTTCCTTGGGGGAAGAATGCTTCATTACGATTAGTGGAGCCAGAAAAATTAGAAACAAATGTATTAAAGAGACAAAACCAAAGGAGGGTTTTTAAAATTTGAGAAGCAAATGGAGCAGGTTAAAGAAAGACAATAGATTATTGTCTGGTCACTGTTAATCAGCAATCTTACATGCCACCAAACATGTTGTGTATTGTAAAACTTCATTACAATAGAACCGTCAGTGCCTATTCAATACAGACAGATTAAAATGTCACATTAAAGCTGGTTTAGCACCATATCATATTTTTATATAATGGTGGTATAATTCCAAGTTGTTTACTGCAATTGCAACACAAGCAAAAAAAACTGTAAAAATGATCATTGCAAAGGTTCTGAGTGAACATCCAGCCAAGAAAACACTCACTTGCACTTTTACAGTAATAGTTTTTTAATAATACAACATTGATCCATCAACATCGATTTAAATATCAGTTTAAGGGTTACAGTTTTAGAATACTTACATCTTTTACACAGTCATGATTTGTGAATCAAATCTGCTATAGCAACTGAATGTTTTTTATCCTTTTGCACAGCATTGGCGAGCACAACAGTGTTTGTACTTTTGTGGATTGTGTAATGACAACATGTCACGTTCCATAACATATTGACATGACTACAGTCTAATGTTCTGACACTGACATATGTTCTAATGTTGATTTGTGTTGACCAAAAAAACATGCCACATGTAACACCTCACATGTAACATCCCCCTCTAAAATATACACATGTATGTAGACAATTCTGCAGCACAATTTGTACGTTTTAACATGATTATTGAATTTCCTGCAATGACGGCCTGTGGGGATGGAACCTTTTTAGTCCTGAACAGAGAAAACTACAAACGAACCCGAATACACGGGTATTCAAAATCATCAAAAGTTCTGAAAGTCAGCCTACCTGATTTCTTCAGAATGAACAGTGAAAGACAAACCAGAGGAAATAAGTGGAAACTACGTGGAAGTGCATTTAAAACCAAGATCAAGAGGCACATCTTTACATAAAGGGTTGTGGGAGTATGGAACAAGCTATCCAGACATGATGTTGAAGCTCTATCTTCTTACAAAAAACAGTTTAATCCAAGGATAAGGTCCGTGGATCAAACAATCTACCAAATGGGCTAGATGGGCCTCGTTTCATACATAACAGTCCTTTATATTCTTATATACATCACACATTTACTTCCATATTTCATAATTTCCTTTGCATCAAGCTTAACTTTCACTCTCAGTGCTTTACCATTTCATTTTCAAGATATACGATAACAAAAGGATTGTACGTTCTTCCACACTGGGCCTACACTTTGTCACTTTCTCCAAATAGTTCTGTATAAAAACCGATTTCGGAATTTTGAGAAACAGAAATAATCATGCCAGTTCAAGTGTACCTTTAGCGCCATTGTTCATTCCTTCTGATTCACTGCTCTTCTTGCTGTTTTTTCCATTAGGAAAGTACTTCTCAAATCCTAGAAAAAAATGGTTCTTTCTGATCCAGCTGGCAAGATCATTAAAACACATTTCCCTTAATGCTGCACACAAACTATCTTACAGTGATGACATGGTTATGAGACTAATAAAGCCTCTTCGTATGTTTGCAAATAATAAATATGTCCAGCACTTAAAAACAAAATGATGCCTCTAATCAGAAAGTAATCAGGATAAAAGAAAGCATTCTTGAAATGCATATAAAACACGCAGTTAAGAATGGGAAGTATTACTATTGCACCTTGCCTTCACTCCTATTAATTACTACCAGCCACAACTAATATAATAAGAGTGACACATTCTACAACACTTAAGAACTGATAGCTTCAACTATTATTCATTCACAATCACAAGTGACTAGCCTTCCCAATGAGGACTTGCATCCCATCACTAATCTCAGTTCGCAAACAGTTGGACAAAACAAGAAAGGCTACAGCTGGGTAACCACCCGGATACCAATACCAAATAGTTTTTTCTTCTGTGAACTTGAACAGCAATGACTGTACCTTTCGGAGGTCTTGAGCACAGCCGTCTATAGGCACCAATTACATTTGCTATTAATGTTCTTCTGTCCACTGCAACATCCCTGCTTTCTTGTGCCAAGACCTTAAAAGAAAAGGATCACAAAATATTAGAGAAGGCACAGCCAACGAAGTCCTTTAAAACTCACTTCTGTCTTCTTCATGCTTAATTGCCACATTGTCATTTGTTATGTCAAAATCAACATAACAGCTGGCAGTACATACAAAAATTCATTACAATAAAATTCAGAGGCATAACACAAGACAGACTGGCAATTATGCAAAGGACACTATGAAGGACACTATGTGGAACAAATTCATGCTTTGAGAGGACGAGGACGTGCTATGTTCTGTTAACCTACTGTATTTTCTTTTAGTGCATACTGAAACATGGAAAAAATAACTATTTTTAAGCAATTTTAGGTTTCACAAGTTCTAGGTCAAGCAACAAAGATGCACTTCAAATTCAAACGACATTTCAATCATGTAGATTAAGAAGGAAAGCAAAAGGTTATTTGAACTTGAAGCGCATCTTTAAGGTCAACTTTAAGGTAATCTTTTAGGTGACCTGCCTCCTTACTCATAGCTTATTTTTTGCACTACATTTTGTTTGTGACATGATTAATACTGTATAACTGACAAGTGTTAACTCAGCACTGGAAGGTATTTCTTTATTGGCTCACAGCATCAACGTGAGGCATTACACAATGGCACAAACACAAACTCCCAGCCACGCTTTCACAACAATGCCCCTCAGACCCCTCCCTCACTCAAATCATTCCTCAAACATGTACAGAGGTGAAAGACTCCCCTACCTACCCCCACACATCACACACAAACTCTCTTAACAGGTTAGAGCACAAAATCAGAGCAGCAGCACCTCAACGCAACACAACAGCTTTGTGTTGAACTAGGCAAGGCAGCAGCTCACCCTCATCCTTGGCTGCCATGATGTTTGCCAATACATTCCCAGGCTAATATCAAACTGCTTCTCTCCAGGGGGCCCACAGCCAGTACAATCCTGACAACCCAGCCTGTGAAGTGTGAGTAAAATACACCTGCACTAGGCCTAACTACTAACATAAGGCATCCCACAACCAGACAAATAATTAACAAATCAGAGGTGTTAACAAAAAAGACAAACAAAAATCTAAGGTAGTTTTACAAATCTCTGGAAAATAAGCAAAATCCTTTATTATCACAGAATCTATACTTAAATGCACCCTTCCTTTGTGCTACATGATGCTGCAAACAAAACAACTGCTTCCCTACCATAGAAATTTCAAGTGCACCCAGCTGGTGTCTAAAGGAAAAGGTATTTATCTGTTTTTACATACAACGTAAAACTTCAGTACAAGGAAAATGCCATAAGATGCAGTGGGTTGCTTCCACATCATCTGGTCTGAGAGTA